TTGGGATCTACCCAAAGATTTGCAAGGTAGATTCCAGTTAATCCAAAAGGGTCTTGGCTCACTGATTATGTTACATTAGAACAAATTTCATAATATGATTATTATGAGTCTGAGTATTACCTATTTAAAATATTAGCTTACTTGCAGAATCACACTATACATTATAGTGTAGCAATTATTGCTTGTGCTTTATGTTTTTGAAGTCCAGGATCAAATCCCAGCTTTGAAACTGGTTGTCCTGTATTTGTGATTTGTGTAATGCCTACTGGTGAATGCTTTCATAGTACTAAAGTAGGCCATGGCTACAACCACATTATTTACAGTGGATTATTTCACAATCATACTGTCCTTTGGCATATGTATGCTCTGCAGGTATTAGAATCATTCAGCAAAACTCAGTGGTGTAAGTTCATTATTGAAAGTCAGTAGGTACTTAGTTGGCCAAAAAAATAACCTGCTTTTATGAAATAAAAATATTCATCACCATGTTCACAAAAGTCCACCATTTGACCCTCTCCTAAGCCAGTTTCATCCAGCCCCCCACTTCTCTGAGATCCATTTTTAATATCATGTCATCTACATAAAAATGACTGCGGTGGTTTTGGTGTTTTTAAGCATCTGTAACAAGTGTATCATGGGACTGTAGCTACTGTGTGTTCACATTTAAAGCTGTCATGTTAATGTTTTTCTTTCATTGATGTACCAGCCCGTTCCTCTCTGATGTTCAATTGAAGGTCACACAGACTGTGGACTAACTTGGATGCTCCAAGTAATTTTACTGACACAAATTGTCTCTGTCTGGTGTTGGAGCAGAGTGCAAAAGGCTTCTTGTCTCTCAAGGCAAATTTTGGGATAATAGCTTAAAAATAAGCCATGACCACTTCCTTCCACATCATTTTAAAATCATTCATAATAATCCTCTGATTTTGCACTCGCTGCCAACGACGAGGAAGATGGCGAATACCATCAGCTTCACCATCTCCAAATCTTGCCGTCTTCCTCATTGTTGGCAGCGAGTACTTGATACACTCGGAGACTACTTTGACAGTTGCTAGTCTTAATGTAAGAATTCTGATTTAACTCACATTGAATTTTTTTAATCACAATTGAATTTTTCGAGGATTAAAGAATGAAATAAACAGTCATTCCGTAATGTGCCTTTTTTCTTGCCTACTATACCTATACCCATTCACACCTACCTGATCTGACTACGCCAGTCGGAGGAGTATATCGTGCCCTTTCATATGTATATTTTGAACTTTCTTCAATATAACGTGTTTGCCCCCAAAAAATTAGTTGCCATTACTTTTGAAGTAACCCTCGTATGTGTTGTTGCAGGGAAATATGAAAAGGCACAGGGTTTGCATTTCTTAATGAGTAAGTGTGTGATTAATTAGTGTAGCTTACTGTCACATTTAATCTATTTGTTTGTTCAGAAATGGCTGCAATATTAAATAATTATAGTTTTGTTATTCTTTTCAGCCCACTTACCAAAATCAGAGAGTGATCCAGGAAACAGTTACAACTACAAAGACAGCATATCCACAGAGTCCACCAGGAAAGATGGCCTCCTTAAATAATAATCTATCTGAACTAGATACATTATTGCAGGACCTGAGTAATGCTCATTACGCTGGCTATGTAGAGAGGAGAGGTAAGGACACCATACATTGGTAGCGTTATGCTATTTAAATCAGTGTTTATCAGTTCGTGTGAGTCTAAATGTGCTGGTGACATTTTCATTACATATTTAATAGTAGGATACAAATTATAGCATTACTGATTTATTTTTTGTTGTGTTCTGTTTGATGTTTGGAAATATTGGTCACTTGGCAATGCACTGGGAACACCTTTCAAAAGAAAATTATCAAAATTTAATAATATATTTTTTCAAAACATATATGAGTCTGCTCATATTCTTTTATGTTATTTACCCTTGGAATATAACAAATAAAATGTTCCATAATATGCCAAAAGTACACATATAAAACAGCCACACAAGAGCCAAAACTTTTGAATAAATACTTTTTAGCTTTTTCAGTACTTTCTGACATCCTTTTTTTCCCACTTCATTTTAACCATTCTTTTGTTTCGTCTGTTCATTGCCTCTTGCAGTGTACAGTTACACACGCATCAGACATGCAAGCATACACAAAAAACTGATTCTATTTTATCTGTTTATCACAAAACAAATAAACATATACAAGTGTGTCTATAAATGGTCTTTACAACTTTACTCGTGAATAAAAACTTTATGAATATACATAGACACACTTATCGGATTTGAGGTTTTCACGGCTGTGAGTCTGAAGATGGTTGTCTTCCGGGTTGTTGCACCGTGTAATCAAGGTGATGATGGAGGCTGCAAGGACCTCAGGAACATCGGTAAACTATTACTAGACTACACGGCGCAACAGCCCAGAAGACAGCCATCAACATAGACACACTGTTTGAGCGTCATCTGCGAGAGAAACACGTTCTCGGTAGATGGTAGTACCCGTTGTTTTCCAATGCACTACAGCGGTCTCTGTGAATCATGTCAGTCTCCATGCACCCACAGGAAAAGGCACAATGCGGTGAGTGGTTTAATGAAACGAAATCGGATACACAGGTCCAAGGACGTTTCAAAACAACGTATCACAAGACGCCACCATCAAGACCATCGATACGTACCTGGTACAGACAGTTTAAGGAAACGGAAAGTGTTTTGCACAGAGAAATTTGCAAGGCTTCCACTTGTGTCTGATGGAAATGTCGGAAGGGCACGCAGGAACTTTGTCCGCAGTCCACGTAAGTCGGCACGAGCTGCAAATGCCGCATTCGATAGTTCAGCGGGTGTTACGGAGACGATTGTGCCTGTATGCTTACAGATTGCAAGTGGTGCAGGCAATTACGCCTGTTGTTAGGGTAGCACGTAAGGAATTTGAATTGACCGTGTTTGAGAAACTTGGACGAAGACAAGGAATTCTCGAGGAAGATCATGTTTTCTGACGAGGCTAAGTTCCACGATTCAGGTAAGGTAAACAAACAACGTACGCATCTTGGGATCAGGATCAGAACACCCTCATGCTGCAGTTGAACACATGGAGACAAGCCTGTTTCACGATCATTTGATCGGACTATTTTTCTTTGCTGAAGCGACTGTGACATCCAGCAATTGTTCATCTATCTGTAGTTGCAAGAACTGAAGCCTGGCGTGTTTTTCCAGGAAAACTGCGCACAACCACACGAGCTTGATTGTGCGTGCATCTCCTATTCAGTATAAACTAAATCGATGGAATGGTCATGCTTTTCCCATCTCTTGGCTGGCCAGATCACGGATATCACACCCGGTTTAAATACTCGGAAGGCCGACATCAGTGATTTAAAGGACAGAATTGCAGATAACATAGCAACAGTTGACGTTCACGTGCTGCAGCGTACATCGGTGGAGCTTTGAATATAGTTTGGATTTTGTACCTGATATTGACAAATGATGCCCATGTTGAATGCATGGAATATTCAAAACAAACTTTGAGAGTTTGTCTCGCAGATGACACTCAAACAGCGTGGCTTTGTTTTTCATCAAGTATTGACGAATAAATTTGTATTGATAATTTTTTATATGCTCTGTATATAAATTTTTGAAATAACAGCTCTTGCTTGTGTTTTGTAAGTTATGGTATCTTGTGCTTCGGGTGGGGGGGGGGGGGGGGGTGAGACAAGTTATAAATATTTGAAAATAAACGTCTAAGTTGAATATCGAGATCTGAAGGGTATAAAGGAAAAATTGTAATATTTTAAAATATCCCATAACATTTATCAGGGGATAGTATCATGTTTAAATATAACACAAGTGGTCTTATCTTTGGAAATATTAAAAGAAGAGATTTTAATACACGAGAAGAAGTTGCGTGAAAATGAACTGTATGATTTAACTCTTGTCCTAATATTGTTTTAGTAAAATCAAGATTTATGCTGGAATTGTAGCTCAGATGGGTGTGGCAATAAATAACTATAGTTTAGTGGTGTATAAATATTCAGAACTGATGGCTTGAAACTAAAGAATGGAGTTGAGAGGATAATATGGAAATCAACGTAAGGAAATAGATTTTGGTAATATCAGTCAGATTGATTTGGCTTGGGATCAAGTCATTGGCAATCATTTGGGTTTATGGCATTTGGTCTTCTGCTATATTACCATGAGCTTCAAAATTATCAAGAGGTATGGAGTACCTTACATATTTTTTTATTTTTCACCTAGATGTTAGCCTTGTAAATGGCTCCCCTACTGCAGCAATGGTCACAAAGTCAAGTCATGAATCTAGGGTACGGCCTTCTGTGGACAGTTTGCTGGATGAGCTTAATACAGCTGTTCCCAATGGGTAAGTAGCCCTCACAGTTTTTATGTATTTTAATATACAGATTGGTACATGCACAAAATTCTCAGTAGTTTGACAGAAAAATGTAGGTATAGTTTTATAGTCACCACCTTGAATTAAATACTGTGACATATAATTTGAAGATTAAAAAATGTCTGTATGTATTTAAGCGATTTGTTATCCCTGTGTAGTTTGCTTTATACAAACAAACTTATGTCATTTAAGGATCAGTGAAACAATAATTGTCATATATTTTAAATGGCTGAATGAGATAAGATATGCATACAGAAATAAGCTATGGTGATAAACTTCCAAGTGGCTGCTTGGAAGACCAAGAAAGAGAGTAGAGTAGAGTAGAGTTTATTTACATTCCATAGATCCTTCTTAGGACTCAACCAAAGGATGTAGAACATGTCATTTCATACAATACGTATACATACACTTCAGAACTTTCAACACAAGTACATGAACGTATTTCACATATCAATGTACATAAATTTCAGATTCTGCAATACAAGTATGAAAAATAATTTTACAAATTAATATACATAAACCTCAGAATTTTAAATATGAATACAAAACTTGCTTTACATACACATAGATTATGGATATAAAGCTTAAACATTTTCAGCAGAGATGAAATCATCTACAGAATAGAAGGAGTGAGTAAAGAGGTAATCTTTCAATGCAGGCTTGAATACCTTTATATCATAATTTAGACTTTTAATTGTTGGTGGAAGATTATTAAACAACTTGATACCTGTATAGTACACTCCGTTCTGATATTTAGTAAAGTTAGCATTTGGCACATATAGATCATGTTTACGTCTTGTATTTAAATTATGTACATCTGTATTTCTTTTAAATTTATCCATGTTTTCCACCACAAATGATAGCAAGCAGAGTATAAATTCACTTGCAAGTGGAAGTATATTAAATTTACGAAATAATTTTCTACAAGATACCCTGCTTTTGACACCGGCCATTATTCTAATTATTTTCTTTTGCATGTAAAAAACTTTATTACTGTCTGTTGAATTTCCCCAAAAGATTAATCCATATGACAATACAGAGTGAAAGTAAGATGTGAGGGTAATATTATGATAGATCGTAGAGAAATTGATTGCGAGGATGTCGAGTGGATTTAACTGGCTCAGGTTCATATCATGTCATGTAGTGGATTCTGTTTCTAGTGTGTTAATGTGCTGGATACTTAAAGCTTTGTTTATGAAATCAGAGTTTATTCTTAAACTTTGAATTGGAGTGACTAGATAAATCATGAATGGGATGTCTTGATTTACTTTGTTTAAACCTTGTCTTTACTATACCTCCATTCAGTACTGTAAATTTTTAATATCCAGGTAAGACATAAGGAATTTACATTTTTGGTGTGCTGTTTTTATTTGAGGATGCAGATCTCTCATGTTTATGTTATATCCCCAAAGTAAGTGTGTCACAACTGCAGTTGTGGCCATTATTCATTCTAATTATTTGTGCAGGCATAAAAATAAAGTAGACATAACTTAGGTCAAACAAAGGTGATTCTAAAACAAGAATCATAGAGAATTTGAAAGAGGTGATAATTTTGGTTGGATGAAAGAGAACAACACTTTTTTAACCTGTGTTGGCAGTGGGTCAGAACTGTAAGAAAAATAGGTTTGACAAGAAACCAAGTCAACACAACACTTTTCATAGTAGTAAGATTGGTATCACTCTTGTTGATGTTTCTTGTTAGCTAAATTGTGCATTTGCATTCAGTGTCCATTCATTTGTTTCGTTTGGAATGAGACAGTGTAGAAAACTATCATAACGTTTTCTACTCACTGCACAATATCTAGGTACTTGAATCCCATACAGTATCAGTTTTCAGGTCTCTGCCACGTACATGCAGTGTGAGCTGGTGAAGTTAATAAATAACAAGGTGGAAGGTGTACTTCTGTGGGTCTTAATGTTACTTTATTGCAGGTACAAAAAAAATCTTTCATATTTTCCATATTGGACTGGATATATATGGCAGAAATAAGCACTTTATTTTCATAACCTAGCAAGTCTTTCCTGTATTGCAGCAGCTCACTGTTTTTAATACACCTTTTTCAAAGCACCATCCCTTTTCACAACAAATTCACAGTTTCTGTCATCCTACTGCACTATTGTAGCTTTTAAATCAGGACATTGGTGTCAGACTACTTGCTTCGATCATATATATTATCAGGTTCATACACATTTAATTTCGTGCTAGTCACTGCTGTATCAATGGAAATATAATGTGGTAATTGTAGTTTACAGTATTGCAATATATTTTAATTGATATTCTATTATTGACAAAACTAATTAGGAGTAAATTAATGCAGTCTCTCATGCATTTGTTTAAGGAAATGAAAAACATTTCAGAGCAGCATCTTACAACTTGTGTCCCATTTCTTGTAAATGTCATAAATTTTGTAGTGACATCAGTTTCTTCCATATTCCTATAAAATTCCCATTAAAAATTGCAGTTATAACTAATGTTTTGTTATAATTTGTATATAGTTGCAGACTGGTAATGTTGAAAATTTACTGAATATGCTCAGTTGTGTGAATATGTATTGATATTCTATTATGCTATACAAAATACCATGTGTAATTTCAAGTGAAGTGAACATGGTTGGTTGTATGAGCATAAATTATTACTTGTATAGCTCAGTTAGCGAAGTGTTCAAATTGCTCTGGGATGCATCCAGCCTAATATTCAGTGGGTATTTTGGATTCCTATTGCAGGTTTAAATCAGCCAGAGCATAAAACTGTCCAGTCACTTTTATGTAGTCAGTGTCAAGATTAAGAGAAACTGGGGCATGCCCTGTGTGCCTTCATGACATGCTGCTTCACATTTTACATTTTAGAGCATGTTTTGTTTCTTGTGTAGGAAATGGCACATTGCCAATGCATTGCATATCTCACTTCCTTGTTTATATAACTCTTAAAGACATTGAAGAGTTGAAGTTCATGAAGTGGTTTAGTGATGAAAATAAATGTGTTGCTCGGCTACTGTGTGTTTCTCTCTCTCAAATCCAACGTCTTGTCAGATATGTGATGACATGATATAGTGTCTTCTTGACATTCCATTCATACTTTCATGGGAGTATTTGCAGTATGTTCCTGTGTCTTTCTACACCGCAGTATTCCTGCCGATATAGTCCTTCTGACCATGCCTGGAGGTGTCTGCACTAAGCCGTATAGAAGTCATCATTCTTTGACCGCCTTAAAACAGTGTTGATAGGACTGCTGCCTCCTACCAGAATTTCACCATATCTGGCTACCCTCACTTAGTTTAGCCTGTAGGCCGATACAGTTGCCCAGGGTGTGGCACTTGGAGCCATGAGTGAGAGGTGGGTGTCCCCCAAGGACCAGTTGCTGCTGACCATCTCCCGTCCTTGACGCTTGATGCGACTGTCAGAGCAAAGGGCACTACCTCTATGTCACATCCCATACACATGTGTGTTTACAATTCTGTAATATCATACATTCTCTCAATAAAAACAGAACATTACCCATCTATAAATTTATATGTTGTGTTGCCTGTCGGTAATGAGAGTGACTGCAGATCGGAGTACTGAGTATAGGTATCTGCAGTGCTTTCGAAAATTCTGTTCTTAATTGTGCGATTCAAAATTACTATGGAAGCTACGAAGGGTCTTATTTGCTGGCTACTAATTGCAGTATCAGTCATGTAACTGTGACTTATATATCTACTTGGTGCCAAGGTGACAAATACTTTGTGGCAAGTACGCATTCTGGTAGTGCAGTACTGATTCTATTTTTCCTTATTATTTAACTTGTTATCCTTTTAAATTCTATTAGCACTTCTAAATACTAAGGTTTGTTGTGATTTGTTTATCTTTAACCATACATGCAGACAGGCAAGTGATTAGAAGAACAAACACATTATTCATTAATGGAGATAAATATGAAATTTTCTCAGCTTGTTAATTTAAAATAGATCTATTATATATGTGGACATAACAGTGAATGCAATGTGATGGATATATGTCGTAGCTTAAAAAAGTTTCAGGATGGGTGCCATTTCTCAAATGTGCAGGCATTGAGAAGCCCCTTCCTTACATGCAGTTGCCTAAAAATACTGTCCATTAGCAGATGTACCAGTATTCATACAGTTGCTTAAATTAGTTTTGAAAGCTGCCATTGTGACTTCTTGCAACATATCCAGTTCTTCAGCCACAGAAATAGGTCAAAATCTTATGGTGTGAGATTAGGAGATAGCAATGGGTGAAGTGAATGGCTGCTGCCCAAGTGGAAATCAATGATCCTTTGACTGTCCACATGCCAGGACACTTCAAGTAATTTTATTCTGTAGATGGTAAGCACCTCCTTGTGTCCTCTCTCTCTTCAGACAATAGTATCCTCAGGAATAAACTTGAAGTGCATGATGCCATGCCAGATGGAAGAGGTTTCCATCACCTTGCCTCTGAAGGAATTCTGCTGAATCATTATGGTTCTCAATGGTGATGGTAACATTTACATGTATGATTGTGCACTGATTGTCTCATCACTGATACTCATGTGGTCAATGCAAGTTTCTGTGTCAGCTTTCTTATCAGGATGTGTTGGCAGATGCATTACATCTTTAAATCCTTATGAAGAATGGAGTGCTGGCTACCAACAAAAATTATATATTTCTTTGTTATCATCTCTACTATCTGAAGGCTGTCAGAGTGCACAGTGTCTTTCACATCGTTGTTTTTCTATAATATTTCAAGCTGCCTGCAGCATAGGTCATCTGTCTAAAGTCCTGTTCATCCTCAGAAATATGATGCTACTCAAACATCATGAACTAGAACTGTGTTTGCCATAAATTCAGAGTGTCTGCAGGGTTTGTGTTGCCAGGTTTTTTTTCTGGAAAAATTTGATGTTAGCCCAATGTTCAAGATGATCCATTTTCCCAGTTAAAATCCCTCCTTGCCCTGTGGTGTTCAGTGAGACACAACTGCATTTCCTATTCCAATAGCAGTTGAACTATTCTACTAATTGTGCATAAGAGCTGACATGCATAAACAGGCTGTAGTATATCTTATACAGTTTTGTTCTATGTTTACACTTCTGCTGTGTCAACACTAGTGAACTTCCAAAGACCATCTAATTAAATACTGCTTCCTCTTTCTTACTAATTTAGCATGCAATTATTCTTGTACCACCATACACTGTAGTGCACAGTTCAGTTCATAATGTCATTGATAACCTGCATACAGTCCATCTAATCTTATTCTCATTATATACCTTATAAGCATGAGAGGTTTGATTTTCACTATCTAGATAGTTGCAGATCTGCTATGATCCGAAATTCATCATTTCCAGGACATACAAATTTTCAGGGTTAATCTCTTTAGGAACCTTTCAACTTTGAAGCTGTGTACTCCTCTGGTAGTAAACTCAGACGTTTATCACCTCTTTTACCTAAAGTCCACCACTGTTCAATAACACTAAGCCATTTTCATCCACTTCCCACCAATATATTTTCTGAAGATACTCCTGAGTTCCCAGGATTCCAATTGGTCACTTTCCATTAGGTTTCTGCATCAAAATTAGTTTTGGCTTTCTGATGTGCCATCTGTACTATATATACCTTGAATAAAATTAACAGTACTAACCTGTATATACCACAGAGGTTTCCATAATGTCATATCCTAAATTTTCTAGAAACTGTCTATATTAGGACTGTAGTTTCCTAAGCACTTTGCTTTCATACACTTATAATTTCTGTTCTTCCCTCAGAGAGAAAAATGGGATTCTTCGATTGATTCTTCATGATTCAGATGAAGAGTTCTGTGACTGTTTTTTGTGTAATTCCTGAGATTAAGTATTTATGGTACTTTTTCAATGTGAAATGATCAAAAGTTAATAAATAAATTGTCTCTTTTTCTTGATAGGGAAGTGGGCGACGGTCGTCATGTGACTCGAACAATCGCAGTCCATGAAACACAGGCAGAAATGGGTTATCCTGGTGCTTCTAATTCAGGTGCATCTTCAGCTACAAAGGAATTGGATGACTTGATGGCATCTCTCTCTGATTTCAAGGTAAATAAGGAGCCATACACATGCAAGATTTGTTCAACTAAGCAGGCTTAGCTCAGAATAACATGAACATTTTTTCTGCTGTCTGTGTCCTTTCCTTTTCAAATGACATGTGACAACACTAGGCAAATAACAAAGCTTAGCTTTGAGAGCTGCATTGCTGTTCAACTCATTTCTCACTTTTTCACTTTCTCTGAGGTACGGTATCAACCCACCTTTGATTGCTGTTCCTTCTTAATATTCCCCTGCAGGGACTATGAAGACTCCTCATATTATAGTAAAATGTAACTAGTATTATGTACCAAAATATGTTACTCTGCAAATAAATACAGCAGCTTTTAGAACAAAGGTTTATATGGCCACATCTTCCAAGAAAATAGTGTTATGTTACTACACATTCACATTTCTGTCACTGATTTTGTAATTTGGCTAATAATAAATCCATGTTATATTTTTTAATTTTTATTAGTTAAAACTATAAATGTCTTAGTGGTAACTAATGTTCTTCCTCCAACACTAATGTGGTTACATCATTTCTTTTTATGTGATACCCCCATTTCCCTTCACACATTTTGACAAAGCAGTTTGTAATGTTATGAAGGCAAAGGAAGGGGTATACTTGTTCCCAAGAGTTGGTGGCTCTCTTGGCAGAACTTGATTGTGGATGCAGGAGGAGAAGTTGGCCTTCTCTCATATATAGCAGTAGCCTGTCCTTTCTTGGCCCACATGTCTGTTGGATGCTAGAAATAGTTTGACATGGGTGGGGCCAGTGGGGTGAGGGGAAGCAGCATTACTTCACAAGCACCACACTACTTCCTTGCAGCCAGGTCTTCAGTCAGTCAGCACACGGGCAGGAAGTTAGACTGACTGTCAGAGCGGGTCTCTATCCTACAAGTTTCCTCATAACATAGTGCGCTTAGACAACTCCTTTCTCAATTACACAGTACTAAAGCAACATCATCACTAACCACCATAGCCTTTCTTTTATACTAAAATCATTTCACAAATACTGCATAAGCATGTTTCAATTCTTCCTGTACATACATTTAATACCTCAGAAAAAAATAAGACATGCATTTACCATGTATAGTTTTCTGCTTTTCAGTAGAAGTGTGTTGTCTATTGAAGGTATATTGTTTTAGTGAACCCAGATGCTTTTTCCTGTATTTTATTATGTTTTCTGCCTTATGTTATTGTACATTTGTATGTAGTGCTATATTACTGCTGATTGTGTCAGTTTTATTGATCTCATTCTTATCCTGCCTATAGCCCCAGCTTTCTTTAATCAAACCAAAATCTGCTATTAATGCTAAATGTACACAGGAACGTAATGTTATGAAATTTTTTTCTCTTCAGATGATTTTTTTTTTCATATTTCTGACCATATAATTTGTTACAGATTAATGCTAGTACCCATCAGCACCAAACTGTGACAGACTCGCCTTACGCAAAGCCAAACAAGGCAACCAAGAGCTCACCAAGTCCACAGCCTACAGCAAATCTCCAGACTCAGCAATTGACTACATCAGTGGTGCTCCCTACTGGTGGAAGTGGAAAACAGAACCAGTTGGATTCCATGCTTGGCAATCTTCAGGCAGACATGAGCCGTCAAGGTGTTAACACTACGCAGAAGGGCTGCTGTAATGCTTGTGACAAGCCCATTGTTGGGCAGGTACATCTCTCCTTTCTGTAGACTTGACATGTATTGAGTGAAATTTCACATTTGCAGAATTTAAAGAATATTCAGTTTGAAGGCTTTATTTAACAGTGTTAGGTAGCATAGACATTGCTAAGAAAGACTTCCCTCTACTCTAGTTCAACAGATTTTCTTTGTTTCAGGTGATAACAGCATTGGGAAAAACCTGGCATCCAGAACATTTCACATGTACCCACTGCAACCAGGAGCTGGGTACCCGCAACTTTTTCGAGCGTGATGGCCATCCATATTGTGAGCCTGACTATCACAACCTGTTTTCACCTCGTTGTGCGTACTGCAATGGGCCTATTCTTGATGTGAGTCATATAAGAGCTCTAGCAGAGTTATGGAAATATTGTGATTATGTTTTTAAAATTTATACATTTATTACGACCATAAGTAGTTCATATAAACATTAGTGCACCCAGAATTGTGAAGAAAAAAGTAAACTTTATTTCATGTTGACCATTATGAATTCTGATTAATAGCGTGTTTTCATGATAATGTTGTTTCATACCTCTCAGAAAAGTTTCTTTTAAATTCAGTGTGAGTTCAAAATATTACAGCCATCACATTAGTCTAAACTTTAAGCTTTAAACTAAACAAAGGATGGAAATAATGGACTTTGCAGAGGCATGAAATGAAATTGTGGATCATATTTGATATATTTTCAGTTTTGGTGGGGTTTTGTTTCTGTAGATGTCAAGTAAAATAATTATCAAAGATAGTAATTAGTAGTGATCATTGAGTTGGAATTTGTATGAAATACATGTGGGTTTTAAAATCAGATTAATAAAAAGTTGATAAAATTAAAGCTTCAAGGAAATTAAAGTTTGAATCTTAAATGCCAACATGAGTCTTATAATCTTTTTAATATTGAGCTTACCCCAAGAATAAAAGAAATCTTCAAAGGTGATTAACTCTAAGAATTAAGAACAAATTCACTTTTAAGTAGTAATATTAGTGTTTTTAAATTATGTATATGGAATGTTGTTTAGGTGTTTTCTACTTTTAACTTTTTTTCAGAAATGTGTAACTGCACTTGAAAAAACATGGCACACTGAACATTTTTTCTGTGCCCAATGTGGGAAACAATTTGGTGAAGAAGGATTTCATGAACGGGATGGCAAACCGTACTGCAGGGATGATTATTTTGATATGTTTGCACCGAAATGTGGTGGCTGTAACAGGCCAATTATGGAGAATTATATCTCTGCTTTGAACAGCCAATGGCACGCTGATTGCTTTGTCTGCAGGGTAAGTCTTCAACAAGATATGTCTGTCTTGAATGTATGCTATTTATAATTTTTATGAAATGTTGACATTGAGACATAATTATACAAATGGATGGAATTGTAAGTATTGCATTTCTCATCTTTCCCTGGCCTTGTTATGAAATCGTACCAGTGCTTATCTGTAACTAGTAAATTGTATAACTTATTCCTTGAGCATGAAATTAGCAATTAATTCTCAGCATGGGTGAAATTTTCATCTAATTTTTAAATGGTGAATACAAGAATGTGTAATGTATCAAGTAATTTTATTTTATTTTATTTCTGTTCTAGTCAGCAACTCTGGCATCTGTGTAATAATTGTACATACTGTTTTGTTCTTCATATCTGCTATTTTGAAATTTAGGATTGCAAGAAACCTGTATCTGGCAAATCCTTCTATGCAATGGAAGGGAAACCAGTATGCCCTAAATGTGTGGGTGTGGAAGAAGATGAGGAAGATTAAAAGTTGAAAGCAATGCAAATGAAATGGATGATTCATGCCCCTCCCAATATGATGCCCTCCCATCCCTACAAGAAGTTCAATGCAGAAATAAAAGCAAAGCCCTTGTCCACTTCATAAACATCTTATGAACAAAATATTATTTTGTTTGAGTTCAACCTTAAAACACTTATCTCCTGTATTGTTATTGTAATTTTTTATCTTGCAACAAAAGTTTTTTTAATGTCTCAGTGGAAAATTGTTCAGTATTTCTTTACTAAACTCATTCTGTGTGTTAGCAGAAATAAATTTTAATAGAGGTTTATTTTCATGTATAGAAATCATTATCTGTATTTGTATTCAATAAAGAGGAAAAAATAAATAAAAAATGAAAAAATGAAGGAAAAAAAAAAGCTGCATACCACATCTCGTATGTAGTTTTATAGCACAGTTGTGCTCTGACATTCCACATATATTCAGTCATTCTGATTTTATTATAAAGGATATAAATTACCTTATTTATTTTCATGTACTAAAATATTTGCTCAAACATCTGTAGCTTTTGTTGCAAGTTAATGCACTTTTCATGCTGATCTTTCCATGTATGTGTACCTGCACTATAATTTATCTTTGTGATTTAAAAAACTATTCTTGTACAATAGAATTATGGAACTAATTATTTTAGATGTTGCCAGATTGCTTCTTGCATGTACATTCTAGGCATCGTCTTTATGTAATAAATCTTTTATTTCCAGTGATTTTACATTAAGTACCATATCACATAATATTTGATTGTGTACCATAAAAGTTAGTGGTATTTAATGCCATCCTTTAAATTTTCTTTCCTTAAATTGACAATCAAAAGTGAAAATATGTATTCTACACATATTTTTCAAATGCATTTCTTGCTATTTTGTGTACCTTATTGACTGTGATGTTTATTTATTGCAGATACAGATCTGTTATTGCAAAGCTAATTTCAGTGAACAAAGCCAGAAATGTTGTTTCCATACTTTGTTAAATATTCTATATATATGTCGCAAAAGTTAAAATAAAAATTTCACATCTAAGTGAGATTATGTTTTGTATCATACACCACTTTTCTGCATGATTAACCTTTTAAGAGAAATTATCAAATTTAATTTGATCCTCATGTAAATTATCAGTTTCTAAAACAAAAATTAAATTTCCATGACAGCCTTCACTGTGGATTCCTAACTCCAAATTTAATAAAAATTTATTTTTTAGTTTTGAAGTAGAAACATGCAGGCAGATTGTGTAACATTCTCTATATGGACTCTTCTTCTATATTGTTATTGAAGTAATTTAGATTCTTGTGTGTCTCATCACCAAACCACTGGTGAAATTTGTGATGTCACATAGCAGTACTTAATTATACATGTTACAAGTTGGTTGGCAAATGGTATGGATGAAGCTGGATCCCAGCCCAAAACAGAAAGATGTGATTTGTGATTATATGGCTGATGGGAAGGACATTGCTAGAGAATGTGCATGCTCACAGATGCAGAAAATGCAACATCTGAATTGAACAATTTGCAAGACAGATTCCAATCTTATGGTGGCCAACTGAAATTGAAGGTGTGAGGAAACCATTGTGATTTATTTGGCTTAGATCCAGATTTTAGGGTAAAAAATGGCACTTGCTCAAAAAATATTTCAGGCTTTGATCATTGTTTTATTTTCATAACCAGTGGTTATTTCTGTTGCAAATGGGTTTCATTCTTTGGCCAGGTCTAATGTTGATTCTTTACTTAATCATCACTATTAGAGTGTCACTAAGAAAACACAAGTTTTGATATTAAAAGATTACATTTGTAACAGTCTTTAAGAAAGGAATTATTTATAAATCTGCAGACAGTGTGTATACGTGAAACTTGTAACATTCCATTGTTGCGGACTATCAGGTAAACCGATGTAGAAGAGAGATTTTAAAATTATGTAGCAGAAAGTTAGTATTCTACAAGTAGTATTATTAGAGCTGTTTAATCTATAATGTTTAGCTTAGCATTCATTGTGAACAAATAAGTGGATACAAACATTTTTGTGAGAAAATCTCTCAAAGAGACCACTTTGGAGACAGAGGTATAGATGTGGGGATATTATTAAAATGGCTTTAAGGAAGTGGGATGTGAGGATGTGAACTGGATGGACTGAGAATAGGGTCCAGTAATTTGCTCTCATTTTACAACTTTCTAAAAAGTTTCTTCTTTAAAATTCTGTATGTATTTTTAATTCCATTTGAGCTACATGTCCAGTCCATTGTAAACTTGATTTCCCTCATTACACAGACTGTGTGACCTTTATGAGTCATCTAGATAGATCCTTTCTAAGAAATGTCTTTATTAAAATTCTGTATTCATTTCCTGTCTCCATCTGAGCTGCATGTGTAGCTCATTGTAACCAGAATGGGTAGCATGGGTTAAGTCATTGACTTTTGCATTATATTATCTATATTGTTAAATTGACCATTCATCTTATGTCCTAATACTTTCCCAAGCAGTTTGCTTTCAGATATTTGTACTGTGTGATCTTTCCTTACATTTACAATTTAAATACATGATAATTAAGAAAAGAGGAAAGTTAGAAACTAAGAGAAAAAGCTACCAAGTTGTACACTTCTTTCCACCAGTAACTTAACAATTTTTCTAATAATGGTAGACTCAAAAAAGACAATTTTTGTCTTAAATACAGTATGTCTGATAAGTCTGGGGCCATAAGAGAACTCTTTTTTTTTTGGAAAATGCAGAGAAATATAAAGAGGGAAACGTTTCAAACCATGTTCCCAATCTCAAGTGTTTGATTTTTTTTATACGTAGGATGAGTCCTTGTTGCTTTGCACTCCCTGCACAGTAAACTTCTAGCATTTCTTATATTTTCAATATATTCTCCAGAAATGAATGTGATCTGTGCAGTAACAAACACTTTTATGCTTTCCATATCTGCCTTTATAATTCAATTATTAATTTTGATTTATTGTGCATGTTTCTTAGTATTGACTTTTTTTTTGTTTGAGGGATTTTCAGTGACATAAATAATATCTGAGGATGTTATTCTGGGGTGTTACACCATGTGGTCTGGTAGAAGTTTCCAGACGTTTTAGACATACTTGCTGCCTCCATCAGAGCAATGAGTGACTCACCCTGATGATGGAGACAGCAAGCACCTCTGAAATGTTGGTGAACTTCTACCAGACTACACAGAACAATCCAGAAGACAGTGATCTTCATACAAACTGCCATGAGCACTTGAAATCTCTCAAAATAATATCTATTATGTTGTGTAATTCATAATGACTAGATTTTTAATTACAGACTTTTCTGTACTCTTTATATATTTTGTTACTATTTGTGGATAATGTTCATAGAAAATGTATGTTTGCAGTCATCTAGAACGCATTCTTCAGGCCATCGTTTGAAAATTGCACTGTTCCTCCTTCTGTGGTTCCTGAATTTTACTTTTCATTTTCTCCCCCCAGGATTGTCGTCAGCCATTCCATGGAGGATCATTTTTTGATCATGAGGGTTTGCCATATTGTGAAACACATTACCATGCAAAGAGAGGGTCGCTTTGTGCTGGGTGCCATAAACCAATCACAGGTTTGTGCTTGTAAATTCATTACCTATCCATAACAGTTATTATGTAGAATTGTTGTAGCTCTGTTAGAAATAGAACATTGTAAATGGTATTATTTTCTTGAGACTTCTTTACAGTTATAGTTATGACTCTGAATTGTTGCTTGTTGCAGGCCGTTGCATCACAGCCATGTTCCGCAAATTTCATCCTGAACATTTTGTGTGCGCCTTCTGCCTCAAACAGTTAAACAAGGGGACATTCAAGGAACAAAACGATAAACCATATTGCCATGCTTGCTTTGACAAGTTGTTTGGGTGAGCAGAGACCCATATGCTGTACTGGGTTTGTGATCTTGTAGGGTGTTACATTTATCTCTAGCCTGTATTCTTTTATGGGTATCTCATAGTTATTAATAATGTAGGTCTGAATAAACATTTATCAACAGGTGGCTGCTGAACAAATCCAAGGCCATTGAAGCAATAATAACATGATGGCTCCCCCCCCCCCTGCACACTTGACACACCAAATGCTGCAGAAGCTTAAAATTTGCTTTATATGTATACATGTATGGGAAATTCATATACCATTGCATCATTATGTTGATTCATGTAATTATATGAACAGTTGTTCTTGAAGTTTGTGATTTGGTTGATTGCATGTAGAGAGACATATTTCATATTGCACTTTACAAAACTTCATTGTTTACTCCTGGATAAATAGATAATTTATAATATTTTGGAGACTTCAGGTTTTCATGGTATTTAGTGATATACTTATCTCCATTTTTGAGTGATGATATTGTTTTGTGGTAAGTAGGTTTGCCATTCTTTCAGAGAAATTAGTAGTATTCATCTTTAGTTCTTCTTATAATTATACCTTGTATTTAGTGTGTAATTAACACATTTGTCTTTGATAACAACAGTATTTAGTTTTGTAGTCACAGTTTACATGTATTTAATTGTCATCTTCATCATATTCTTTTGTTTAATATTTGACATCGTATCCATTTCTCTATATACTGAATACTCATAGTTGAGGCCATTTACTTCATCTGTACATGGGTCTGAGGATCCAGCACAAGACAAAGTGACTGGTGGCACTGTTGGCCGTATTTATAGTAATGGGCTCTGAGATAGTAGCTCAGTGATGTAAGTATATGAACTAAATCTGCTACCAGTCCCTCTACTTCACTCTGATGATGGGACTTAAAATTTGTCCAAAATGTTGGCAGACTGACCCATTACAATACAGTGTACAAGTGCCCAACCAAAAATGGAAAAAATAAGTATTACATCACGGTGTTTAACATAGTTCAAGATTTAATTGTGTCTCAAGATTTGTATTATGTCTCAGTAATGTTTCTCTGTATGAATTATTGTCAGCTGTTTGCCAGCATAGCAGAAAGACCTTATATTGCATTCCATATATCTTGATACATTATTCAAATTGAGTGTTGTTATTTAAAATACACACTGTTATCTGGATGACTTTGATATAATTTTTGTGCTCTGGTAGAACCTTTAACACATTGAATACTGGTACATACTGACCTTAATAATATCTTGGTTTTCAGTTCAGTCAGTGGGGAGTCATCATAGACATATTTGTTTTCATAGACTCCACTGCTTACCCAGTGGAGTATTAATCTTATGTGCAAGTGTCATTGAGATTCATTTTGTTGATATGTGTTGGCATAATTTTTTAATATGGTGATGTTTTCTTGAAGGAAAATGTTTGTCATGCATTACTTTAAGTAGAATTTATTTTAGTAACGTAAAGTTCATATCATGATGTCCTTTCCGGGTTCCTGTAAAAGCAGTCATTAGATTGCATGTGAACTTACGGATACATAGAAGGAAGACGTTTGGGTTAGATGACCATGCCATCTCTCAGCAAGCATTTTTTATGGATATCAGTTTATAAAAAGCATGACCAACATCATTTTCTCACACAGAGACTTGTCATTTACTATTAGTACAGATGGTTTTAAAACCTACGCTTCATAATCACTGAGAACCATAAAATGCACTATGCTAAAACCAATGCTTGTTATAATCACTGTAGGAACCACATACAAGAAGTCATTAAATATATGGAATAGACATATCAATGATACAGTTTCTTACATCTTTTTTTTCCCATTTGGTGTCTGTCATCAAAATCTATTAGACCTATGTGATGCTACATTTGCCGTATATGATGATTGAATTTATAGAAAATTTTACTGAATATAATTTCATTGTTAAAACTTAAAGTACAGAAAAAAAAAATCAATCATTTTCTTTACAAGAAGCTGCTGTTGTGGATTTTGAGATCACTTATGGCTCTGGTGATATGTTTCTGATCGCCATAGCAAGCAGTAGTGTGGTGAGAAGAAGATAATTTTTTCAGTGAAATCCTTTTTGTGTTGTGTATTAGGTTTCTGTATGTTGTTTAAAAAGTATCTTAAGTAAACAAGCTTCAGTAACATAAGTAGGATTTGAGGTTCTCACAGTGGTGAGTACAAAGATGGCTGTCTTATGGGTTGTGGCATCATATAGTGTGGTAGGAGTTTACCAACATATCAGAGGTTTTCACTACCTCTATCATCAGGACTCCTCTGAAATGTTGGTAAACTTATACCACACTACATGGTGCTACAACCCAGAAGACTGCTATCTTCAAGAACATAGTTTGTTCACTCATAAGTTATCCAACAATGTGAAGTTATGCACAGAATATTGTTGGAAACCAACTGTAAGAAAGACCATGCTATTCGGCCCCCCCCCCCCCCTGCACACTTGACACACCAAATGCTGCAGAAGCTTAAAATTTGCTTTATATGTATACATGTATGGGAAATTCATATACCATTGCATCATTATGTTGATTCATGTAATTATATGAACAGTTGTTCTTGAAGTTTGTGATTTGGTTGATTGCATGTAGAGAGACATATTTCATATTGCACTTTACAAAACTTCATTGTTTACTCCTGGATAAATAGATAATTTATAATATTTTGGAGACTTCAGGTTTTCATGGTATTTAGTGATATACTTATCTCCATTTTTGAGTGATGATATTGTTTTGTGGTAAGTAGGTTTGCCATTCTTTCAGAGAAATTAGTAGTATTCATCTTTAGTTCTTCTTATAATTATACCTTGTATTTAGTGTGTAATTAACACATTTGTCTTTGATAACAACAGTATTTAGTTTTGTAGTCACAGTTTACATGTATTTAATTGTCATCTTCATCATATTCTTTTGTTTAATATTTGACATCGTATCCATTTCTCTATATACTGAATACTCATAGTTGAGGCCATTTACTTCATCTGTACATGGGTCTGAGGATCCAGCACAAGACAAAGTGACTGGTGGCACTGTTGGCCGTATTTATAGTAATGGGCTCTGAGATAGTAGCTCAGTGATGTAAGTATATGAACTAAATCTGCTACCAGTCCCTCTACTTCACTCTGATGATGGGACTTAAAATTTGTCCAAAATGTTGGCAGACTGACCCATTACAATACAGTGTACAAGTGCCCAACCAAAAATGGAAAAAATAAGTATTACATCACGGTGTTTAACATAGTTCAAGATTTAATTGTGTCTCAAGATTTGTATTATGTCTCAGTAATGTTTCTCTGTATGAATTATTGTCAGCTGTTTGCCAGCATAGCAGAAAGACCTTATATTGCATTCCATATATCTTGATACATTATTCAAATTGAGTGTTGTTATTTAAAATACACACTGTTATCTGGATGACTTTGATATAATTTTTGTGCTCTGGTAGAACCTTTAACACATTGAATACTGGTACATACTGACCTTAATAATATCTTGGTTTTCAGTTCAGTCAGTGGGGAGTCATCATAGACATATTTGTTTTCATAGACTCCACTGCTTACCCAGTGGAGTATTAATCTTATGTGCAAGTGTCATTGAGATTCATTTTGTTGATATGTGTTGGCATAATTTTTTAATATGGTGATGTTTTCTTGAAGGAAAATGTTTGTCATGCATTACTTTAAGTAGAATTTATTTTAGTAACGTAAAGTTCATATCATGATGTCCTTTCCGGGTTCCTGTAAAAGCAGTCATTAGATTGCATGTGAACTTACGGATACATAGAAGGAAGACGTTTGGGTTAGATGACCATGCCATCTCTCAGCAAGCATTTTTTATGGATATCAGTTTATAAAAAGCATGACCAACATCATTTTCTCACACAGAGACTTGTCATTTACTATTAGTACAGATGGTTTTAAAACCTACGCTTCATAATCACTGAGAACCATAAAATGCACTATGCTAAAACCAATGCTTGTTATAATCACTGTAGGAACCACATACAAGAAGTCATTAAATATATGGAATAGACATATCAATGATACAGTTTCTTACATCTTTTTTTTCCCATTTGGTGTCTGTCATCAAAATCTATTAGACCTATGTGATGCTACATTTGCCGTATATGATGATTGAATTTATAGAAAATTTTACTGAATATAATTTCATTGTTAAAACTTAAAGTACAGAAAAAAAAAATCAATCATTTTCTTTACAAGAAGCTGCTGTTGTGGATTTTGAGATCACTTATGGCTCTGGTGATATGTTTCTGATCGCCATAGCAAGCAGTAGTGTGGTGAGAAGAAGATAATTTTTTCAGTGAAATCCTTTTTGTGTTGTGTATTAGGTTTCTGTATGTTGTTTAAAAAGTATCTTAAGTAAACAAGCTTCAGTAACATAAGTAGGATTTGAGGTTCTCACAGTGGTGAGTACAAAGATGGCTGTCTTATGGGTTGTGGCATCATATAGTGTGGTAGGAGTTTACCAACATATCAGAGGTTTTCACTACCTCTATCATCAGGACTCCTCTGAAATGTTGGTAAACTTATACCACACTACATGGTGCTACAACCCAGAAGACTGCTATCTTCAAGAACATAGTTTGTTCACTCATAAGTTATCCAACAATGTGAAGTTATGCACAGAATATTGTTGGAAACCAACTGTAAGAAAGACCATGCTATTCAGTGTCTTGTTTAATGGCCTGTCTTAATGTTTGTCAGGTACTTGGCTGGATCTATAGATGTTTATATTGTAATTCTACATAGTTATTGTGCTAATGGGAAATAACTTATATAGGTGTTAATGCCTGAAGTATGTTGGCTTCCTGTGTACCAAGGGCAATTTATGGTGTACAGAATATTTTCCTGTGTACTGAAATGGAAATTAGTAATTGAATTATCACATTGTCCTTTCATGTTTGATCTCATTGTCAGATGAACAAAACTTCTAAAGGTCTTATTTTAATAAGAGTACCAATTATAATAACTTTTTCAATTTAATCAACATAAGGTGATGATGGAAGGTATTAAAAAAGGTATTCATCTGTTGATGGAGTTTCAGTTTTAATGTGCAGTTAGAATTAGAACAGTTCTGGTGAGGTGTGATGGTATACATGTTTAAAATGTGGGATCTTTCACTTGGGAACAATATGTGGTGTTCAATGTTCATCTTATTCTATAACCTGCACTAAGTTAATGACATTTTGTGTTACATCATGAATAATGAGGTCTGATATAAGAGGTTACTGTAAGTTTGGCCCATCATTTTTTTTTTACTTTTAACATCTCTGTTGTATGTAACTGTGTTGATACCTGTAGAAATAGATGGGAAAATTTTCCATGCTACTTCAAGTAGAAACAAATACATAGCTAGATGAAAGGGGGTGATGTAATTTATCAGCTTCACATTTCAACATACTGTTCAATGCTTAAGGAAAAGTTATTTGATTCATCAGTTTTCCATTTCATTTTATCTGTTAGAGTGCTGAAGTTAACAAAATATAACAGTTCTTAGTATTCTTGATATTCATGTGATAGGTACACTATCTTTGTAGATAATGTAGAGAAATTTTTATATCTCACATACTCAGAACTGTTCATTACATGTGGAGTGTAGAAAAGAAACTAGTTGTCAGGAAATGTAATAATTTGCTGTCAGTTATCTGCTGTTATTCATAGGTGTAAGAAATTTAATACTTTTTGACAGGCATCATTGATTAACAACCCAGTGCACAATTATCATAACTGCATTTTAAGGCGCATCATTTGAAACCTACCTCACTTCAGCAACAACTTGGTGGTGTATGAAAGCTTGATATGAGTCTGTACTGTCATTCATTTTGGTGTGTACTGTGCCATGAATATAAATACATAGGGTTCTTTCATATTAATTATATGCTTTTAAGATCTTATTTTGGAACAACCAATTGCCATACAAAAGTTTTCTTAATGCCAGTTTAAAGAGTATTTAAAAAAGTTTGCTATTTAAAAAGCGATTTGGTTTAAGACATAATATGATGTGCTCCAAACAGAATATAAAGATTCCCTGGAAGGTCAGTAAGCCATGGAAGCCCTAAGCCATGACCCATAGATTTCCATATTTAACATAGTGGACAGTTTATGTGATTCTGTTAAAGATGAAACCTGTGTACCACACTTACTAATGAAGGATGATGACCTAAATCATAGAATTAATGAAGCTCTTGCACCTGTTCAACAAGAAATCTTGCAGAAAGTTTCGATGATTTTCTCTGGCAGTTGAATGGTGTCAAAATTATGAACATTGCTACTATTGGACATGCATAGGGTTAAAATTATTTGCATAGTAGCTGTTAGCATTGATATTAATGTAAGTTTTGTAAGACTATGTTTGCTCAAAATACATGCTTAGAAGTTACTAAATGTGTAATAATATTTGAGATATGGTAAAGAAAATGTTCAAAATACCATGATTAAACAAGATTATCCTAACTACTGACCAAGAATAAAAACACTATCTTGATTATTTGAAATGAGGAAGGCTTCTGAACTACACAGTACAGTATGAAATTAGTTGCAGTCTAGTATAAGAAATCTAACTTGCCACAGAACATGAAAGTATGATTTAGTGCCAAATGTATCCAACTAATACTTTATATATTGCACATAAGTTACATTGTTCTGATTAATGAATACAAGCCATAAAATAGAGTAATTACAGAATGATCTTTTAGGTATTAAGGAATTTTCTATGGAACTATATGCTTAAAATGCCATACCTTTCAGTGTTTTATAACATTTCTAAAATCTTCTGAAGTGATTAGCTATGTCAAACCTGGGTTAAAAACCTGTAGTAATTATAACATTATTATTAATTATGTTGCCCTCGGTGAACTAGTGATTTGCGTGCTCGCCACTGGACCCAAGGTTCGTGGGTTCAAACCCAGCTGAGGTCGATGGATTTTTAAGGGTGATAAAAATCCATAGCACAACTTCCTTCAGAGGGGAAGTAAAGCAGGTGGTCCCATGTCGTAGATTTATGAGATGTAAACAGAACTTACGAGCATGATATGAGATGTTTTCTAAGCAAAATTCAGTGGCCATTTCTCACCCATGACTCTCCTGATTTACTGCTAGATGGCTCAAAATCAGGATTGAGTAGAAATTGTGCAGAGGCAGTGGGCTTGTCACTCCCTACTCAAATGCACCTTACAAGACTAATAAGGACAAATTGCCTTGAGCAACTGTCCCAGAAAGGGCCAATAGGCCCAATCCCTGTAGTAGATGATGATGATGTTAAAATAAAAATTAAGCATGAACACATAGAGCAGAGAAATCTTCCTCTTAATACTCTTGTGGATTAGCCCCATGTGGCCTGTTCCAATTCAGAATTAGAGCTTTTACATTGCTGATCACCTGAGACAGAACATTCATGTGCCATGAAAGCTTGAAGACATACATATTTACTTAAATTTGTTGTAAAACATATACTTGCAAAATATTGTTTGTCAGTTTACTCTGAATTGTTGTGGCAAGTATATCAAGGCAAACCAATTTATGCCAGAAGGTAATAATTTCCAGTTCCTTTGTCCAACCACAGCAAGCCAATGAATGCATTGCATTGGTCTGGATTTTAATTTAGTCCCTTGTTTACAAAAACATGGACAAAATAGGAATTTGTGTGTAGGATTTGAGGTTTTCATGGTGGTGTGTTATCAGACAGCCAGGACTGACATCAAAGCTCTAAGCAAGCATTTACACTTGCTTTGTTAAGTATACTTCAAGTAAAAAATTTCTTCAGAAAAATATTATATATTTTCAAAATTTGTTTGTGTTATACTGTTACTTGACATATTTTTGAGGTATTTGGTAAAAATTTATTTCAGCTTTCATATTTATTAAAATAACATACTAATTAAATTAAAAACATGTGCAAAACTTGTAGGTATTAAAGAAGTTAAATACTTTTATGTTATGTAGTTTACATATTGTGCCTTTCTTTTTTAAATCAAGTGTGACATATTTGCCTAACTTTTTTCCTAACAATCAAGTAGCTTCTAATGCCACAGGATCAGAACTTCCTTACAGAGTGTGAAAAAAGAAATGATGTAATCTTAAACGAGTTAATCTTGAATGTAAATATGTATTAAAAAAGCCAAGGGCATGTTGCTGGTTTTAAGGCCATATTTTAACATTAATATTGCAAGTGATTAACATCAGATATACTAGTGTAAATATTGATATGAACTTTGATAGTGTGCCTTTAAAACGGTATGTGTTTGTTATAACCAAAGTTCAAAATAGGGACAGTCTTGATAATGGCCATCTCAGAAATAAGGTGTTCAGAAATTCAGACATTGGCTGGCTGTTGTTGATAATGCATGACATCCTGGTTGGCATTCGAAATAACGGGTCAGTGAATTCAATAATATGACTTATTGAACTGGGTTTCAGAATCTATAATATTTATATCAAAGTATACTACACTGAAATAACAGAAAACTAGTAAATGAATGGTAAATAGTTTCAAAGGATCCTACTGCTAGAAAGCTGTTGTAAGTAACATAATTATTTACAAGAACATAATACAAAATCAAATTTTAAACACCATCTGAAATCAACAATGACTTCACATGTCTGTTATTAATATTGGCTGGCCAATGCCTGAAACAGTTTTATGTTCACCATTGTTTTGGATTTGGATTTTGATCACTGTTGATAATAATCGGTAATGAGCTGTGTCTGTAAAAAATGCAAGGCATGCCATACGTTGGCCACAGTTGCAAGATTCATAATGTAATGTCAGTTTTGTCACATCACTAATTTTAATAATGAGAAGTAGATTGTAATTATTGTATACATTTTAACACACAAGGCTTTTTTACCTATAAAACTGCTGGTTAAATAGTATTTTATATAATAATAAGGACATAAATAAGTATACAGGTGATGGATTCAATCATTTTCTAGACCCAAATTGTCTGATAAGTTTATCTCGACAACAAGGAAAAATTTTGTCAATGGCAACACTGAATTGAGAATAATTATTTTCTAATAAAGAAAGATGATTGCATGAATGCAAAGTCATGTTTAAGCAACAGATATGACTTCATAAGTGAACAGAGTATTCAGTCATTCAGTTGAATTGATCAGTACCATGTTATGAATATTTTAATCTAAATATCAATAAAATGTACAAGTTTCTTATAGTACTAATATTGGGAATTCTTGCCTTTTCCTGAAAGCAAGCATAACATTATGAAAAGATGAACATTTTAATACCAAAATAAAAATTCAAGTATCATTTTCATATTGTAACGTGGGTCGGCGTTGCGACCTGGATTGTCAACCCTGATTTATTCACATCAAATTAAATCAGTTACAGAGTCTGCACATACAGTCAACTCTCTACAACAACAACAACAACATCCCCGCTGGCTCCTCGGCCGCCCCGGTCCACGTACCCAGTGCCCGCTCATGCAGCCGACCTGTCCTTACTCAGCGTCGGCCCATAGCACCCCACTGGACACACACTGGCTCCTCGGCCGCCACGGTCCACGTACCCGGTTCTCGCTCACGCAAGACCCGTCCTTTCTCAGCGCCACACCAGACCTCTCGTTGGCTCCACTCACTCGACTCCTCACATTTCTCTTAGTGTTCTCTCACGCCCGATTTACAACTCTGTTCTTTCCACACTCCCTTTCCAACCACTCTTCAACACACTCCCTTTCCAAACACTCTCCATTTACAACAATGTCTATAAACAGACACAACAATGCCATACACAATGTCTAACGCAACAATGGCTATAAACAAATACAACAATGCCAGACACGACAATGTCAATAAACAGACAACTAAACTGTTTATTGACATTGTTATGCTGCTCTCACGGCAACACGTCACACTATGTTTTACTGGTCACTTTTAACTCTTCTCATATTATAACCTGCATGGACCTCTGCATCAATGCCTATTTGTGTCTTAAGATTATTGAGTTAGAAGATAAGGGTATTATGAATATTCTTTAGAATAACATTATTAGTGGCTTCAAGTATTGTGGTATGGTTCCTGTACACACTGTTCTTATATTAGAGCAGAGGTTCTTAACCTTTTTCTCCCAGTATACCTCTGAAGCTCAAGTTATGCACCATTCATCTATGATCAAGGTTAACAGATTAACAGATAACCTGCATAAAATCAGGAAAGATTGCATCACCAATGAAATAGATTGCTTGAAGGATCACTTAAATCATTGGTCATTACCAGATTCCTCCCATATTCATTCTCTCTCTGTCTCGTCCCCCCCCCCCCCCCCCCCTGCATATTTTTATGCACTTCTGTTTAGTCTATGTGATGACAAGGCAGTTCATATCTGAGACATGGCAACTGTGTGTTGACATTGTATGAGTTCACTGGCCTTTGGTATACCCTGTTGCTTTTATGTGAGTGTTTATAGGTTCTCCAAAAACTTTAATGTGAGCAAAAAAGATTAGGAGCATGAACAGAATTTTCTAGAAATTGTGCAGTTCCTCTGAATTCAGAAGGTGCTACACAGTTTCACATCCTCAAAGTCTACTGAAGATAATATTAAATTGTTCCTTTCTAGATTGGCACAGTATAATTTATTGCAGTGCAAAACCTCACCCATGGGCTTTAAACTGCACCATTTAAAGAGAGGTTTGAATTTAAATGGCCAACACTGACCAAACAAACAGTAACCAAAGTAAAAAAAGGAAGTGCACAGCCCTTCAAGAATGAAAAATAGAATATAAAAACATCCATAGATACATTTTATGCTACATTACGTAGTATTGGGAGTTTCACATGATTTTATGCGAATGATAGAGACAAATATATACAGTGAAGCTCCTATTTAATGTTCCATCATCTAAGGTTTCAATTTCAGTGATCTCTATGTTTAATTTCCTTCATTAAGGTATTTCTTGGTTTAATGTCCAAATTCATTGCTTCCCAAATAAATCTTAAATGGGAATTCACTGTAACTTCATGTATGTTGTAACAGTGTATTACAACATGGGATATTGGTATTTTGAAATATGTTAAGGATATTGAACTGCAGACTCAGTAGCTTCCTTGGAAATAATATACTGCCCCTACAAATCACAGAATTATGTTTGGCATGAAAGTAATATTATAATCATTTAGTTATATTTGATAGTCTATTAAAAGTTTAATATAAAATATTTCTCATTAAATTAATTTGTTCTTTGTTAGTCTTTAGTGAAGAAGATTAGAAATGAAGGCTGAAGACAATTTGTTAATTTGATCTAAGAGAGAGAAGAATGGATTGAATTATGTAAGAGGATTTGCAGTTTTTACACATATAGTGTTATCAAGGCAATTAAATCCAAGGAGAGTTTGGACAGGTATGTATAAACGAAAGTAAATATTTTTGTTGAACCTCCTGGGTAGAGACAAGCCAAACAGTATGAACTTAAATTATAGAATACAGTATTAAACAGGATATCTAGAGAAGGAATTTGTGTAGATGTGAACTGATTCAGGATAATTTCCATTGGTAGGCTCAAGTGATAATGGTGAAGTAACTTCTGGTACCATAGAACAGTCAATAGTTACTCAGATATGCAGAAATATTTACTTAGTTCCCCTGCTAACTGGCAAACTTGATTGGTCATTAATACAGTTTCAGTGTAATTCCATTTTAATGATTTCTCACAGAGCATTACGTAATGAATAAACAAATATGTTCTCCATGCAATGCATATGTTTTCTTCATGTACATTTATTTATTTATTTACGGTTCATTTAATGACACTTTTTCAGCAGCTCAGACAATATGGTGTTCATCGTTATGTAAAGAATGCGTTTCATTATCTGTTAAAATAAAGTGGACAAAGCATGTAAGGTAATCGGCAAGGACTAGTGTATATATTCAGAAAAAATTACATAAATTTGGTGTCTGTGGCTATATCTTTGAATTTTAGAAGATATTGAAACAGGGAGGAGATAACTAATTCCATGGACAGAGTCCATGAGAAGCTAACAGTTGCTTGGCTAGTGAAATTCCTGAAATTTTAAGAAACCTGAAGGTCATTACCATGTTCACAAGAGCCCACACTTTACACATTTTTTGAAATAATAAAAAGTTTAAGCTCATACATTTATTCATCAACATGTAAGTCTCCTCTATATAAATATACCATTTTAAGCTTAAGATGGTACTTTTACAATATGTCTGTGCTCTACTGATTTCAATTTACATACAGTTTACAAATACAATTTGAGTAAGCTGGTTTTTAAATATCTTTTTTTGTGTTAACCACATCAAGGAATGAGATCAGGTTACATACAGTGACAGTAAATCAGAGCTGTACAATGATACAATAATGTCTAAAAAGATAAATTTACTTCTCTGCTTAAGCACTGTGCCCTAAAGGGAAATGTGTGTAGGTAAATCTCCATCTACATGCTCCACTGGATAGAAGTTTCCTTAAAATTCAATAAATGTAACAAAAAGTTCCAGGTGACCACTTTAATAATGTTGGTGATGAACGAAGTTGGCCACTCTTCACAGGGTTTGACTATTTTAATCCTAAATTCAACATTACCCTACAGTATGACCAGGATTTACAAAATATCTAAATCTTTCAATTTTCCTGGTTCTTATAAAACCAGCAAATGTAATTTGTTAAAACAGATTACATTAAAGTAGGAAACAAATGGGAAAAACTTTCACTCCATATGTCCATAAGTTCAAGTTCAGTTCCTGAAATTTCATTCTGTGGGGAATCTAGAGATTCATACCCACAGTCTGATAAAGGTGGCTCAACTTTCATAGACGACTCTGTATTGTCGTACAGATGAGGTGAACTGGGTGCTGGAGATAAGCTGTCCAGTGTCCTTATACTACATGGTGAAACAGGATTTTCTACAGATTCTTCTTTGCAGAGTGTAGTGTGAAGCATGGGCGCTGGCACCACTGATACAGTGTCACTGGTTACAACCTCCTGAACAGCATCCTCTACACACACATCTTCACAAGGTACTACTATTGTTATAGTATGAGTTGATTCATTGTATGTGCCAAACACGGATTCTGATGAAGAGTCACAGGTGTCTTTTTGGTTTGGTACAAGGCACACAGAGGAGTCTTCAATGTTTGGAATGCTTGCAGAACTGGTCTTGCACTGCTCTGAACATTTTAAAACAGGACTACTTGTGATCAGTTCTCTACTGGTTTCCATGCCTTTTGGTGATGACCCCACCATTTTATAACTGTTCGTCTTTCCCTGGATTCCATAAGCTCCAACCTGAAACAGTACATTAATTAGAACACCTGAGAAAACAAGACTGGAAAGGTGTATTCCATATCGGAATACATGTGCATTCTTTGCAAATTCTGAATTATTAATAAAAGATCACATGAATCATCTCACTTCGACAACCTTAGTTTCAGACTATACAAGTCATGTGGTCTTAAAATTCTTTAAGTACTGCAAATCAATAATGTCATGCAATAAATCAATTTAGCTCTGTGGTAGCATATACATGGGTCACAGGATTGAATCCTGGTCAAGTCAACTTTTTCTTTCATGTATTAACTTATGAAAATTATGTTATACTGTTACTGCACACAAAAATCTTAAACATGCAATGTATTATTGTGGATTATCATGAAACAAAACTAACCTCTGCACTGGCTTGTCTGTGCTCTGCATCCATTTCTTCTGCAGCATCTCTGAGTAAACTCTGTGCCAATTCATCCAAGTGAGACAGACATACATCTCCATCAATATTATCGAGGAGATCTGGGAGAGATGGCAATACAGTAGAATCCTGTACACAGTCAAAACCTGCAACACCGGGCCCAGTGCCCATTGTAGTGCCTGTCCCTGCAGCAGAGGGTCCATGCTGAACTCAGCCGGTTCAAATTGGGTACTACAGCAGACATCATGGGTCTGATGGTTGCACTCATGGCTTGACAACTTCTGGCGCAGGTCTTGATTCTCTGTAGCCAATTGCATCTTCTCCAATTGGAGATTATGACAATGCAGTGTTAATGCTTCATTCTGAAATTAAAGAAAGGTTATTTGCAAGGCTTACAATGTACACATATGTGCATGTACATACGCAGATCTCACAGTGCTGAAGTTGCATTCAAGGTAAATTATGTATCTTTGTTTTTACTGTCATGTTAAAAATCAGTGGGTAGGATATTACAGGCATGATACTTAAAATTATAACTACAGAGATTATAAAACCAATTCAATATGTGGGCTTGAGGCCAATAACAAGGCAGTAATCTGTAAAGGGAACAGTAAAATACGAATGTGAATTTAGAGCCAATGCATAGGTACTGTTCATGCCCCAGTCTGTAGAAACATGCATGTATAACACATACCTTTTCTCTGAGTGCCTTTACTTCTGCTTCCAGATCATCCAACCTTGCTTTCTTCCGGTCTCTTGAGGTCTGTGCAGCCACTCTGTTTTTTAATTTTCTAAAATATAAATAAATTTAACGTTTTACCACGAACATATGTATGATTAGATTACCTCCTCCTGTAGAATTTATTTTTTTCATTTAATGTGAATATACACGGTGGTATTCTGGGTTGTTGGGCCGTGCATTGTTTTAATTGTATGTCAATGCTGGCATTCAGCCAAAACACCTCACCGCCCAACAATCCACACTACAATCATCTAGTTATACAGAACTTGAGTCGTGGATACTGCAGTAATTGCAGTGTCGTTTCTACTAAGAATACAAAATATGATGTAACAATTAAAATAAACGAGCTGACTTACTTTCTTTGAAGCTTTTGTTCCAAAGATAAATGGTCTAATCTCCTCTTTCTATTTGGAAATTTAACTTGTGAATCTTCACACCCCGTTGATGTGATGGAATTTGAATTTGGTAGAACCATTTTACCGGTTATTGTTGCGTCATTCTTACATTTTAAAATAGTATTCCCGGTCTTCAATTTAATTCCGATTTGATTACTAAGAGTACCGTCACTGTCAACATATTTAGGAACTGCTGTAATAATTATCGTTTTAGGTACGGCCATCCTCCAATAAAAGACATTTAAATAAGTAGATGTGTGTAACAAACTCGCGAATCTTCAATGCACCACACGAAACCCTCACCGGGGCAACAATAATCCAATTATTTTTCACAGTATTCGACATCCCATCTTTTCCTCATAATCCATAGTACTTTCGTCATCTGACATACGCAGCGACTTATGTGGGGTAGTCTGATTGGTGGCTGCTGTTGACGTCAACGTGTGACGACACATGTTATTGAAGTTTCTATGCACTAGATCACCTGTTCAACCTATCCCGTTGAGCTGTTATTGTATATATATATGTAAGCCTACAAAGTTGGGGTTAAGATAGTATTTTATGATGTAATTTGCAGTTAAATTTTTCATTCCAAAACTTGTTGGGCCAAGTGTGTTTTAAATAAAAACCATGTTTGTAAGTATTGCACTGGATTAGAATTCATAGTACTATTACTTATCAAAAAGATCCCCTATATAAATGCAATTTTTTAATTTATTGTAATTACTGCGTAATGTGACTATTGAAAATTGTGTTCAGAATTACAGTTGTAGCAATTGATGACGATAATACATGACATAATAATGTCATTCATTATTAACTATAATACAATTTATTTGTTTCATCCTTTTCATTTTTGTAACTGTATAGAATATAATTTATTTATATTCCATAGATCCTTCAAGGCCTAAGCCAAGGATGTAGAACAGGTCATAGCACAAATACAATACTTGTTTCTAGTACAAATATAAATGCATAGTTATAAATTTTCTTCTGTATTGTTAATAGAATTTGATTGGGATAAGGTTTTCTCTTTCATTCTCAGGTTTCTATAATTCTTTGCAGTTAGTATATCCTAATAATTTAATAACTTGGCCATTGTGATCTGTTACTACATCAGTGACTATGAATTTTCTTATAGAATTAGAATTTATATACATTAATAGAACCTTCAAAGTACAAGCCAAGGATGTAGAACATGTCACAGTATGAATATGAACACTTTGTACAATAAAATACTAAAACAGCATACTTTTTACATAATTATTTACAGTATGTAATTATTTTCAGTTTAAGTAAATTCTGTAAAGAAAATATTAAGATATACCATAAATATGCTCTAGGGTACAAGAATGAATAGTAAACATTGCAGTAAATTGGGGAACATGAATTGAATTAAATTATATTTAATTTAAGATTAGGGGATACCATGTGTTTAAATTATGTGGCCAGTCCATCTGTTGACATTCAGATTGAAAGTTGATATTATGATATTATACAGAAATGCCTTGTTGTTAAATGCAGTACATTTATTTCAGATTTACTATTTAATGTATCCCCATTTCTTGTTTAGATTATGTCTTATAGTATGGAATGCTTACTTAAAAAATATTGTACCAAATTTATGGTTGCCATCTCAGTTCCTTTTTAAGCTGTAAGTTTTCCAATGAAAATTATACAGTTCAGAAGTTTTATACACTATGTGCAACCAAAAATCTTCTCTTTACCTTATTTTGACACTAAATTCATTCATTGAATAGAATAAAACTGAATTTATTTACATTCCATAGATCCTTCATAGGCCCAAGCCAAGGTTATAGAACATGCTACAACACAAATATAGTATTTGTTTCAAATACAGATATAAATTACATAGTTGTAACAGTAATTTACAGTCAACTACAGTATTACCACAAAAATAATTACACAAGAAAGCATACCCACTATTGCTTACATGTATTTATAATAGCTGAGATTTTTGGTTGAGGTAAATTCTGTTATGGTGTAGGAGTGAGATAAGAGATACTTGTTTAGTACTGGTTTAATCTTCGTTATATTGTGATTCACACTCTATATATTCGATCATATAGGAAACATGAGACTGCAGCTCAAAGTACTTGTATAGTTTACATTTTGGCCCACTTGTACTTACAAGTTGTGCAGGCCAGCCTTAGCATAATATTAGCTGAAGCTTAGGGAAATATGATGTGGAGCATAGCCTCATTTCAGCTGACTCAGGATAAGGTTCAGTGGTGGGATTTTTTTTTTAATATTATGATGAACTTACATATTCTGTAAAAATAGTATTTGATGTCCGTAATTTGTTACTAAGGCTGGATTTGAGGTTCTCATGGCAGTAAGTGTGAAGATGACTGTTTTCTGGGTTGTGGCACTGTGCAGTCTGATAGAAGTTTACCATTGTTTGTAAACTTCTACCAAACTATGTGGTGCTACAACCCAGAATACAGCCATCATAGTTACTAAGGTTAATTGTTTTGTCTTTTTGTGCCCAGGATTTTGTGGGTGCAGGTTTCTGTAGAGGAAACTCTGTGGGAACAGAGCAACAGAGAAGAGCTGCCATGATCTGTGAAGGCTGCTCTGTTAAATTTACTGTGTTCAAAAGAAAAGTAAGTCATTTTGTTAATAAATTTCACAAGTTAAATTTAATTCAGTTTTAAAGATAGGTATTTTGTTGGTAGAATTGTATCCTGCATACAGCTATGCTCAGACATGACATTGATAATGAAACTCTTCATCTGTTTTTACACTCTTATGTGGTACATGGAAGGTATTTAATATTTTATGTCTTCAGTGTATGTTCAGTTGCTGTGAATAATTAATAGCTTTTTAACAATTTTTGAACTACAAAATTATACTTGTGAGGCTGTTTGATCCACAGTCAGTTCACAGTGGCCTCATCTGGCCTCTTCATAAAAACAGTTGCCCAAACCTGCTCTAGAAGGTCAATTGGATGGTAAGGAAGCTTATGAATGAAAGCAGTGCCTGAAGTTATTGATTTACTCTTGTAAAATTAACTTGAAATTATTGCATATTAGCCCAACTACCATTCTGATGGTTGGATGTTAGGAAGTCGATGCTTCAAGTCTTTTTACGAGGATTTATTGTAAGTGCTGTATGTATTCAACATTTAATATGTTCCCTCTTTATTAAAGCGGCAGTGTTCAGTGTGTCGACGCTATTACTGCAGTCACTGTTTGCCATTCAGACAAAATGATAGCAACTACAACACCACATCTGTGTTGGCCCACTTCACAGACAAGAAGTTGAAATGTAGCAAATGTGAGGTACTCACATCACGGCCACTGAGCCGTGCACAACTTCAGCAGCTTAGAGTCAAGGATTTGCAACTTTACCTTATATCCCAGAAAGTATCTACAAGAGGATGTGTTGGTGAGAACTTGTCTTGCTAGTCATAAGACACAGGATTGCAAATGTTTTAAATATTGATGTCTTTGAGAAGTAACACATACAAGTCTGGAACTAACTGTTCAAGTAAAAATTATTGTCAGAACTAACTGAGCATAGTGGCATGATAGTCTCTGCAGTAAGTAGCTAAATCAACGATCTGGAATTACCCTGTATATTATTGTTAGTTTTGTTCATGTGTTAAAGAAAACTGTACACATAAGGGAGGGAGGAACACAAATTAGGGATTGCATCAGGTGTGTAGAGCACATGTTAAGCATGCACTTCTGGCTAATGTTACAGATACTGATCAAACACAAGCAGATTCTATGTAATTAGAGATATTGATACAGTTTCAAATTTTTTCCACATCTACCAGTGCTTCCAAACTTAGGGAAGTGTTATCAGGATTTCAACCTTCTATGAATTGTTTCTGTGGCATACACATGCGCACACACACTGTAGTGATGGGCTGATCACTTATTTACCTGTTTCACCACTTGAACAATAATTTAGTCTAGGATTCAAGATTTATGTTGTATCTGTGAGAGCAGTCTCTTTTTAACTCTGCAGAAAAGGATGATCTAGTGAATTTGCTGATGCTACATGCTGGAAATTCATCAAACAACACGCAAAGAAGTGACTTTCCTATTGGTCATGGCAGTCAGACTGATACGCAAAGTGGAAGTCAGTCATCCATGGTGGAGGACCAAACTGAGCAGCTTTCCCAAGAACAGAGCACTTCCACTGCATACTTATCATCCCAGTGTGTTCCATCTACTTCAGAGACCCCTCCAGATAGTGATTATTTGGTGAATAGTTTATATAATAATACAAGAAGTTTTATTTAGGGCTGAAGTTGGATGCTTAGTCATGAGGATGGAGACAGTATGTTTCTCTGAAACCTTGGTATCTTTAGACAAGTATACACAGCACTGAAACACAAACAGTATCATTATTCTCACTGCCATGAAAACCTTAAATCTCACATATTTCTACTGTCGTTTAATACTTTTATCTCTATACACAGGGCAACTTGCAGTAATGTATCAAATTTAGTGATCTATCATTATGCAAAATTTCTGCTAGTAAATATTGCACTTCCATTATCTGAAAATTTGCAAATGTAACTGCACTTACAGAATAGCTTGGTAGTGGTAATTCATTAGACGTATATGTAAGTGGTACCTGGTTTAACCAACTATCCTGATAGATGTTTTGATGGCTTTTCTTTCTATCCAAGTGAATGCCAGCATAGCATTTTGAAATGGATCCTGACCATTTCATAGAAATAATTTTATCATCACATTCATTGCTAAACAGTGGCTTTAGTTGAAACACCATTGTTAAATTAACCAAAGAGTAAATCAATCCACCTCACATGCTCGTGCCATTGGCCATATTAATAATTTTTGACACAATAATGGGCAAAAGTTAGAACATTTTTTTGTACACGTGTTTATTATTTAGTACCACATCAAATCTGACGTCTCTACAGTGCCTTCTTGGTTACAGAGATGTCTGATAAAATACTTCTTCTTTTAAAGGGTTTTTCCATCACAAGTGATAGAAGCACAAAGGCTGGTTCTGGGGAGAGCACCACAGGTTCTAGTTCAAGTTCTGGTTCACAGTTTGGACACAAAGCCCCAATTGGTACAAATATGTCTGTCTCACCTGAAGATATGTGTCATATTTCCACTAGTAGCAGTTCATCCACTACACAGTCAAGCAGTGGATGGTCAGAAGAGCATTCAGTGGTTGATGTTGATATTGTGGAATTGACAGATTGGACTGGTGATTTAAACAATCTGGATGCTGGACCTGAACCAGTTATCACTGTCATTGAAGATGACTCACCTGAAAGAACATTTAATGAGGCAAGTCATGTGTCTGTATCAGATTTGCTTTTGGACAGACAGACAAGCACAGATGCTGTTGCTAGTTCAGCTATGGAAGGTGATGTGTCTGATTTTGTAATACAGGTTGAAGTCATGGAGACAGATGAACTTGCAGATGTGGCTGTAGAGAGTGAAGATGGTGATTACAACATTACTGCAGGTGAAGCAGGAGATGAGACTGCAGGCATTGCCACAGAGGAACCAACTGTTCCTACTCAGGTGTGTGCAGGTTGTTACAGACATCTCAAGAACTATCTGCATGTAACAGTCATCCTTGAGAAGCTGATAGTGCACTCAGCTTATCAAGAAATTTTCCACATTTATGGAACATAATGGTTCATTACCATGTTCACAAGAGCCTGCCACTAGTTACTGTCCTGAACCAGATGATTCCAACCCTTTTCCCCTAAGATCTGTTTTAATATTGTCTCTGAGTTGATAATTCTAATTATATTTGGCAGAGAGTGAAAATTATGGAGCTGCTCATTTTACACATTTTTTCTAGCTTCCTTTCATTTAGCCCTTTTAGATCCAAATATTCTGTTCTCAAAAACCCTCATTCTCCATTTCTTCTTTAAAAAAGGTAACTTAAATACTGTTTTTTCTGTTAAGGAGACATTTCATATTTACATGCATTTCTAGGTCTTCCTAGAGGTCTCTTTCCTTCTGGTTTGCCCACCAAAACTCTGTATGCATTCCTCTTCTCTCCCATACAGGCTACATGCCCTCCCCATCTCATCCATGTATTGTGGGTCCCTTGTCACTACAGCATGGCACATCCCCAGGTTGCAGATGGAGGAGACAGCTTCCAGATATGGAGAGTAGCTGTGAATATATTGAATAAGCAGTCGTGGTCAGCCAACAAAGAGTGGCCCTCCAGATTGAGGGTTGGGCTAACAACTCCTCCCCGTAGAAATAGTAAATTGTTATGAAATGTTACACATGGCCTCAGAGAATTTATGAGAAACTGCAATAAAGTAATAACTTCTGTCATATGTGATACTGTTTTAAAAGGAATCAGGACACATTTTGTCTCCAATAAATTATGTCTGGTGTGTAAGTATAGATATGTAAATTCCACATTTGAAATTTCTGTGCACACTTGTATTCAATTCTTGTTTAGTGTTGTGTAGGAACAATTTTAACTGTTTTCAACTTAGATTGATACATAATGTGTTTTGAATCTGTTGCATGTTCTACATCAGTCACGCACTGGAATAACTTTAGCCAGTATTAGTGGTTTGGAGGACTTCGAGAAGCTGACAGTGAAACAATTGAAGGAGCTTCTGTCACTGAATAGAGTTGATTATCGAGGCTGTTGTGAGAGACAAGAACTTATGGAGCGGGTTGCTCGTCTCTGGCAGGAAGACAGTCAAACACGGAAAGGTATTACATGTGCGATGCTTTTGCTGTTAATGCTAATATAAATGTAGGGTTTAGTGTTTAAATTCACAGTGATTTGTTTCATGTGTTTCTGTCTGTAGATTGCATCTGATAAGAATTTTTTCCTGATACTATGTGTGGGTCATGCTAGCTATTTAAACAGAATGGTAAAAATTAAACTAGTTTCTTCTTTGGCTATTTCTAAAGCTATGACTTGTCTAGAGGAAAGGATGCATGATTAAATAGTTCTCTAATTATGTGTCATTAAGTGTAAGGATGGTTACTTTGGAGCACTTGGCACACAGTGAATCTTCAGTAGGTCCCCAAGCCAACAAGCCATGAGACCCTCTGTTAAATCACTTCACATTGTATACAGTGGTGGACTTCCTTTGCATAAATGTGTTAGATTGTGACAAGCTTTATATATAAATTCGTTCACTTAACCTCAAAAGTCTAACTCATGCAATTTTATTATCCAGCAATGCGCAGATTCCAGTAATGTCATACGCTTAAAACATAACCTCATATCTTTTGTAATATATCAGTTAATGGTCTGTGATTATGATACACCTCCATATAACATTTCAAATGGCAGTTGATTTATTAGTAGGTTAAACAGTGTGTGTTAAGCAATACTAGGCTTCTGAAACAATTCTTTTCCTTAACTGCTGCTTTGAATTCAAATTAGTACATCCTATTTTATCCTTTCTTTTCAATATTTGTTAGATTTTCACATTTACATGGCAAATATTTCTGTCTTATCTTGGTGTTTTCCACAGAATAAGGTTATATTGAATGAAATTTAAATTTCCCACAAGAAAATTCAGTTCAACCAATCATCACTGTTTTTTTAAGAAAAATTTTTCTGTTATCTATTAACAAGAAGAAACTAGTAGTTTAAAATGTTGCTATAATTATCTTTCTGGTATATGCCACAGAAGCGAAGGATTTCTCAATTTGACAGACAGATGGTTGTGCTGTTATGCAGTCAGTCACACAACCTTGAGTTGTATAAATAACCGATTTGACCATAAAAGGGTTAATAAGTATGGGTTTGGTACTTTTATGTGTGTCTTTTTTCTTGAAACAGGATTGGATACAATGAGTGTAGATGAACTTTGCAAAATTTGCATGGATGCACCTGTGGAATGTGTAATGCTGGAGTGTGGCCATATGGCAACATGTGTAACATGTGGAAAACAACTTAGTGAATGCCCCATTTGTCGTCAGTTTGTGGTGCGTGTCGTTCGGACATTTAAGGCATAAGTTGTTTTGGTAGTTGCCAAATGTTTCTGTCTTGTAGTGTCCCTGGGAATCTTCTGTGCAAGTGAGTATGACACCTCTCTTTTAGCTCACTTTGGTCTGTGAACCGAATTAGCCGTGTTTAAATTTTAATAGTTGTGTGTATGTAATTTATGCCTATGAACTATTCTAATTATTTTTTTGTAGAGTACTTATGTTATATTGAAAGTTTTCTCATTACATAGGCCTATGATTACTGTGATAATGGCCACTCTTTAATAATTATAATGGTATGCAAATTGTTACTAGCATTAAGTGCGGTTCCTGTACTTTGTTGCTTAGAAAATTCATGAAGTTATGCATATTTTAGGTAAGTGAGAAGCCTTCCAAACGTGCATTATTTTCAACTGGCATGGTGTATTAATCAGGATATAGTACTATTTTAAAATATTTTGCTTATGGCATTAGTTTCATGTGTTTATGAAATGTTATCTTAAGATACTGTATTTACCCAAATATAGATGTCAAATTTAAAAATATGCCTCTTAGAAATAAAGCTTGAATGTGAAAAAAGGTTAAAATTATTGGGAAAAAATATTTTAGTTAACAAGTTATACCTTGCTTACTTTCTTCTGTAATATATTTTCCTCCATCTGCAGAGTTATTGGTTTATTCTTACGGAATAATAAACATGCATTTGTACAATGTCATGTATCTACCCTCTTTTAATAATCTTCATTGATTTAAACAAAAGTGTATAGGACCATAAATAAGTTCATTTATTGTAACTGGGCATCCCGAAATATATGTTTCATTTTGATCTTGATCGGTCTTCTTATTCTTCTAGCATCATTTCTTTTTTATACAAGTCAGTGGATGAAAAGTCCCCAATCTCTTTTATCTTCCTACAGTCTTTCCTCTCTGATTTCTTGCCAGCTCTTCCCTCTTTTCTTGACATCTTCTAGTGCCTAGCTGAACCACCTTCTGGGTCATCCCATGGTTCTATATCCTTTAAATTGTAATTCTATTGACCTCCATATTCTTGTTCTGTCCATAACAATTTTGACATTTCTACACATTTTATTTTCTGAATTTACTTCGTTTCAAAAATAAATTTGTTCGCCTTGTCTAGGTTCCTTGAAATCCTCATAGTCACTTTCTTGTCCATATTCATTCTCAGCTCATATTTCTTTGTAACAAGGTTCTGTTGATTTAGTTGTTCATTTTCCTCTTTGTCTTTCTCCAAAATTAAATAATTGTTTTCAAATATTAATGTTTCAATGTTTGGTCTTCTCATCAAACTTTATTAATGATTTTGTCCATCATCATATGGCATTAAACAAAACTGAGGACACTTCCTTGTCTCACTGCACTACTAAGTTTCAAACCATTTTAGTCTTCCTGAATTTGTTTTAACACATATGTACAGTCCTTGTGTGTTAGGTTCACTTTCTTTGTAAGCTATTCTGGTACTTATAATATTTTTAAGACTAAACAAACCTTTTTTCTCTGTTATATTGTTATGAACTTGACAAGTCATGGTTAAAAGTGATCATGTTGCAACTCTTTCTGATTTACATATACTGATGGTCTAATACTATTGATAAATTAAAAATTGTAACAGTAGCATGCATGTTTAAAGCAATCCACAATTTTTAAGGTAAATTAAAAAATTCCATATATTTTCTTACATTTGGGAAAATACAGTATATTTAATTTATTCAAAAGACCATTGTTTAGTTTAATATATGTTGTGTTCCATGCTTCAGGGACTGTAATTTTCTTATGCAATGTGAAGTTTATTGACTTCTGTACTTATAATGACTTTTAAGTTTTGAAAATGTGATATGTACAAATAAGCATCTGTTGCCTTAATTATAAACATAATACCAGCGATTTTGATAAACATATGTGTATTTGCATAAGGATAAGTAAGTATATGTATCAATTGATTTTAGTAATCTGCTAGATGTGTTCAGTCATGTTAGATATCTGCAGAAAATGTCACATGTATTATTATGGCTCTTAATAATGAACAAATCATTTAGTCATATGTATATGAAAGAAAGTGTATAAATACAAATACAGATTGTAAAGTTAGTTGTCACTTACTGAGAATGAAGACATAATTTTAACGGAAATAATCTTTATCACAACAATATGAAAAATGTCAGAATATGAGGCTTGTTCAAATGCAACCAATTCAGGGATTTTTGTGGGTAAGGCCATTAAAATATTACATATGGAAGCTGAGGTAGGCTTCCTGTTGACACACCAGCCAGTGAATTCCCACCACAAAGAACTCCCTAAAATGTGAAACCATTACACCACCCTGGCCCTGATGTCTTAACAACCTAAGTCTATGGGCTTTGCAGCAGTTTCTTGAAGTTGCCAATCACATGTAAGTCGTATTATGGCAGGGCTGGGCTGTATGGGATATGGTGCAGCATGAATCAGGGGTATAACCTCTCCTGAACAGTGTGGGACATGTGGTGGCGAACATTTTTGTGCAACATGACAATGCCATGATGGTTTCTGTTGATGGCAGTACAAAAGTCTCAGTGGGTTGCATAATAGCAGTGTATTGATGGTGATGTCAGGGTCCTTGAATTCCAGAATTAACAAAACTGAATGACAGTTTGTTTGTCTTGTTTGAGTGGATTCTCCATCTGGGATGCCAAGATTTAACTAAGTTACACTATTTTTGTTTACTGTCATATGCTGGTTCTGTTGCACAACTGGTGTGTCATGCACACAGCCACATGATCACCTGCTATTGGCTACATTTTTCATTACCAACAGAAATGGTTTAAATTCAATAACCCTCATGTATAGCAGGTATAAGTGAGATTGGCCTCAGTCAGTTTTATGCACTCTTGCTGTTTGATGAAGATCATAGATTTGATTTGTTGTGCAAAATAGTTGAGATATTCTGCAAGCTGAAGTTCATTATGAATTTTACAATGCCAACTTTCTCACATTGGTTCACATAGGCACTGCAGTTGATCCCTTTAATCATAGTACTCTGATTCTATGGTAGCTAAAACTTCTGAAAGGCAGTAAGCATATATATCAAACATTTTGATATACCACTATATATATATATAATTGATACAAATTGTTTTTTTACTGTTAAAATGTTAAATCACTACATTTTTTGTGTACAGAGAAGTTTAATTATTAACCCCCTCTGCTGTTTAAATAACCAATACTTAAATGATAGTTGATATCACAGCCCTTGTATCTTGGTTTAGGTAAGTCATTAATGAACACTTCAATACTAGGGATTCTTTAAGGAATTGAGGACCCTAGGCAAAGTGTTACCTTTGGCCCTCTAAATTTTTCATTTATTTTTAAAGAAAAGGCTTGTTTGATACCAGTCCAAATTTTATTTACGTTAACAAATGCAATAAAGTGTATAAAAATTAAAAACACATAACCCAAAAATTATCTTGGTTTAAAATTATTTTTGAAAACTATATCATTTTATACATTCACACCATAACAATGAAATGCCAAAGATACAAGTGCAAAAAAATATGTATTTTATATGACCCTTTGTTTCTGCTCCTCAGATATGTGATAGCAACTGAACTAGCCATTAAAGACCCTCAAAATTCTGTAAATACATTTCATCACAGAAAAGTGCAGGTTATTGTTTGTTTCTCTTCATACAAACTATATATTCTGTAGCCCATGAATAAATCTACCCAGTTTACTTGGTAAAATATTCATATTAAAATTGTAGGCATTGTTTTATAAGTATATAACACCCTTTCTTCCAGTGGGATCTGTTAGATATGTTCTTTCTTGAAAACAAAAGGAACATGTTCAATCTCTTCCCACATGATGTGTGTCTGTAGGCTGGTCTATACGGTATACATATTCACCAAGTGCAAAATATCCCAAATATTCAACATTATCAGGCTCTGTATCAATATGGTAATGTCCACCTTCACCATGGTGACTAAAACTGTGAAAGTGTTGAAGCCTCAGATCTAAACCCTGCAAGAACAAACATGAAGTTTATGATGAAATTAAATTCAGGAAATTCTTATCAGCCATTTGGTTAAAAATTGGTAAAATACTTTTCTCTTTCCAGGCCAGTTATGAGTAAGAAATACATGCATAGAAAACAATAATTTTTATCAGTTGTTTTGTTATGTAATGGTATGTGACCTTATGACCTGACTGAAGAACATAAATTGCAAGTGTCTGAAAATGTCAGGGTCAAAGAGAGATGAAGTATAGTGGGGAAGAGAAGACAGATACAATACAACTAGAAAAGAAACTTTACCATTCATATAACACACCTAGTATTATTAGGTTATTTAAATCAAGGAGGTTACAGTGGGTCTGACATGTAATTTAGAGGGCTACATGAATTTTGATGGGGTAACTTTTTTAAAAGCAGGCACTAGGAAGACTGAGACAGTAGAAAAATATTAAAATGAGTGCCTGAGTAGGTTGCAAGTTTTTGAAAAAGGCCAAGGAGAAACTCTGTATTTGAATCAGCAGTAGTGCCATTTTAGACAGTTACTATGAGGTCATGGAGACATAAACACCCTGTCTCAATCTGTTCAGTCTTGAAGTGGTACGTGAGCCAAATCAGCATGCACATAGGTCTCAACAATACAGACACTGCTAAACCTTTGAACCCATCACTAGCATATGAGACAGAAGTAATGGTTTTCTATGTGACAAATTCACAGTATGTTAAGGACTGAAAATGGTGATTTTAACAAAACCAAAGTCTTAAAAATGATGTTTTGTTTATCAACTTACAGGGTCAGCTGATGCTAGTGTTCCAACAGCAATGAGAGGTGCAGACATGTTGTAAAAATGAAGCCATTTTTCAACTTCTTCATCAGTATTAATGGGTGTAACTGAAAACTCTGGCATTATGTGTTGCTTGGCTTTCCCCTCTTTAAGAAGAAAAGTTCCACCAAGACCTGAGAATGATAACATGTTATAGAATAAATTTGCATTGTTGATTCTCCAAAGTTTGTAACCACACAATTATGTTGCACAGCACCAAACATCATTGTTGAGTGGTTATCACTCCCATATCATATGGAGAAGCTCCCAGTTTCAAATATTGACCTAGAGACTTGCTATTTGACTGCAGTTTTCATTATTTTCTTCAGTCCCCCCAGGTTAGTGGGGGAAAAGTAAATCAGGCTGACTGCTTCCTTCCACAGCCTTTCCAATTCTTAATTTGATACCATTTAACACTATGCAGTCTGAGTTACTGACAGCTAAATATAGCATAAATAAAAAAAAAGCTATTAAACACTGTCCATTTTCTGAATTATATTTACTGTACACAATATTTTAGTTGTCACCATTGCCATCTGGTGATTGGTTGTCATAATGACATAAACTTTTATTTTATTTATTTTAAAGATGGTGACTGGTTGTTATTATTAGACCTATTAGACCCAACATTCTTTATATAAGAAACCAAGTTATTGGATATAATTTTATCTTATATAATTCCTATTCAGAATTGTCTGCCAATTCAAGGATATGGTTTTGCACAGTTGCTTTTCAACTATGCTTTAAAGTTCACATTAGGAAGGTTCGAGTAAATTAGAAGGGAATGGATGATCCCCAATTACATTCACATAGGGAGTTAATCTCACCGGAAGTTAATTTGCTGACCACAAATATTTAAGTACCACAAAGAAAAAAGTCTGTTAGATGCTGGTGAGATGGTTGGTCAAGTTGCAAACACACAAAAGAAAGTGTGTGTTCCTATCACATCACAAAAATGCAGGATAAAATCTTAATATAAAGATAGCTAATAAATCCATTGAAACTGGGAACAGAGAGCTCAAGACAATATAAGTAAATATTAATGAAGTGACAACCAATAACTTTATGTCAGTAGTGCCAACTCCTGAAAAGTTATGCATAGTAAATAATTTTTGATAATGCACAGTATCCATCACAGCTGTGATGTAATTGTCATCATTTGCTTTACTCAGCGGTATTAAAATGTTATCTTACATTAATTGGGAGAACCAAATAAGCAGGTTCCATTACTCCCAAATGTTGATCATGTGACTACAAGAGCAGGATTAACATACAGGTTGCTTCCAACCCTTGATACTTCCCATATTTAAAAAAGTATTTAAGGTGAAGACAGTGACTGCATTGCTTTCACTTTCTTAAGCCTTTTTGGTACTATTTAAATTCACTATATTTTGTGAGACAATTAGTTGAAGTAAATACTCTGTTTATGCTACATTTTAGTATGCTATGCAATGACAGGGGACATTTAATTGTACTATGTTCTACTGCATTAGATATGGCAATTGATTAATAAAGTTGTGGCACTGATATAGAGAAAAACATACCAACAGCCTTCTCTTTGTAATGGGCTTGAAGAGATTTCCTTATACTGGCAATGAAGTCGTCATTTCCGATTCGTTTCTTACAGCTCACTTGAAGAACCTTGCAAAAAAATAAAATATAAAATGTTACATTGGGTGTAACAAGGATTGTACTGGGCTGGTTTTAATATCACTCGTGGTAGCGGTGGTGATGGTGGCAATAGTAATAGTAAAACCCGTAGTATAACTAAAAAATAACCAGTCCACAAAAATTATGAAAAATATTAAATGTTGTCTAAGGAACTCTCTCACAGATGGCTTGGTTTCAAGTTGACACTTAAAAGAAAAGTGTCATATCTGGAATGAGCGTGGGACATATAGTCTGAAACTTTACTTACACTTATATGTCAGTAGCTGGAAACTGTGAAGATGGATGGAATATAAAGCTAACATATAAATAAATGCTCCAGCTACAAGAGAAACAACCTATGAGTAGAATCGCATTTCCCAATAATTACAATTGTTATTTTATTATAAATAATTATTATCAAACTGCAAAGTATTTTAGAGAAAACTAAGTGAAATAGTACTTACTTTTCCAGGCTTTCCTTCACTACAGAAGATATTAGCAAGCAAGGCACAACGCGTTTCAGTATCAGGAAGACGTTCCAATATACAGCTGCCATCTTTGATATTAATTTTTGATATTCTTGTGTGATTATTAACTTTTCCTCCTTTCACTTCAAGATTGACCATCATCTAATGAAGAGAAAGGTAACAGAAAATGAGATATTGTCTTGCTTTGGAAAGTTTATATTATTTTGTGTTGTATCTAAACCAGAACAATGGACACTATCCTTAATAAAGATGTATGATTATGGACAATATTACATTTTCATAATTACCTCACAGTTTACCCCAGCATATGGCCATGGTCCAGCACCTGCTCCTATCAGGAAGGTTGGTTCAACATCTGTAAGCTTACCTATGTCAGACATATTATAGAGTTTTTCCCTCCGAACTAAAGGAAGCAAGTAGGGTGGCCCACCAATTTCAACCAACCTTGGTTTTCCTCCCAAACCTAATTACAACGAAATAACAATATTCAGATTGTGCTCTTGTGGAGTGTTGCATAGTATAGTATGGTTCCTGGACCACATAATGTGAAACTCCATGAAAGCTTACAGAAAAGATTCCTTTCATTGACATTTAAATAGCAATTAAGAGTTTAAGTAATGACTAATACACATCAGGCCACATCTAAAGTGCATACTTATACGATTTTTATAAATTAAACTTGTGTCACATAACTTAGTGCAAAAGCCTGCAATTCTCACCTTTACATGCTAGAGTGAAAGGCTCCTTTGTAAGATCAGGACAATCTACAATTTCAACTCTGACTGTTTCAAAGTTGGATACTAAACCACTACCCAGCACTGCAATGAAGAAAATGTACATGTCAAAATGCAGGATGCAAGTACAGTTGAGGAATTCGGTCTACAGTCGACATAACCACAAATGGCCTGGGTTAGGTCCTGTTAGACATTGGAAACTGAAGGCAATGATCCTTAAGAGACATATCTAAAGAACCTGTGTTGTTTTTCAACATTTAGGCCCCTGTTCATGTCCATGGCAGTCCATGATGTTTGGCAGAAAAAGTGGCTCTGGGAAAATTTTTGTCTGCTTTCTTCAGTTTTCCCATCAATATCTTTGCACTTCTGCTCATATTCACTCAATTGGGAGCTGGATAATGGGCCCATTAGTGGCAACAGTTCCATATAAACAGCCCCCCCCCCCCTTTGCAGCAAAAACAGTAACAATAATGAGATAAGTGTGTTGGTTACATACTCATCCCCAGGAAGTGTCAAGAATGTTTTTATATCCTTACACAAAGGTTTATAAAAACTTACCTTCAACAAGTTCCTCAAGGGGAGGAACAAACAAAGATTTACTTGCAACTGGTGGATTTTTTATCACAGTAGCAGCCATATTTGTCTTTATGATACTTCTCACTTCTGAAATGAATTATCTGATGTAAGTAAAAATTCTTATCTCAAAGTAAAGAAAAAACATGTTTCATATTTGTCACCTGAAATGACAACTTCTGATCTAAAAGAATGGTATATTTCTATATTCAAGCTTCACAATGCTTCCCAAACTGCATATCAACTCTCTTATTATCTTATCACTTAATAAACTTACTTCTGACAACTCATTAAATATCATGTGTTAAATAACCTGATACACATAACTTAGGAATTACGTTTCTTGGAGGCCCATCAAAACCAACAGCAGGTTTATTAATCACAAGATTAATCCAGTACACTATGTAATTCACATAACAAAGTAAACTTGAGAATATAAAATACTAATGAAAGGACAGCAGGGAGCAGAACTGAATTTCATAGTATAGAGCTTAGCAGTCTTATTTCATACTTAGAATATCCCAATTCAAACCTTGGCCAGCAATCAGGCTCTCCTAATTGCCTTTGTTTTATTGTATTTCCTACTTGCAAATGCCAGGCTGATACCTTCAGTCACATTCACTATGACCCATATCTTTCCAAGTGATCAGTAATCTTTTAACTCAAAACTAATCTTTTCAGATAAAATTGTGCTGTTATATAAATGAAGAACCCCACATGCTTAGGACTATACTGTGAAATTGTGTAGACTTCAAGCTCCACACACTCTTAACTTTAGTACTATTGAGGTGAATGGTCAGCATCATGCTCTAGCTATCTTTACCCCTAAGGAATTTTAAATGTGAACCCCACCACCTTTGCCGGTATTTCACCCTAGCAGTATGAATCCATAGTGTGTTGTGTCACTGAGTTACCATGATTTGTAGTACTATGAAGGATAATGGAAGGTACAAGGGCTGTTCAGTAAGTATACAAGGACACTATGATATGTCACCTATTACAACACAGATACAACTACATGCAGACATCATAACATTTTTCTACATAATCACCTTTGCTGAGGTACTTTCCCTAACAGGAAACCAACGCATTTTGACTTTTCACAAATAATTCCTGGTCAAGCACCTGTCCCAACCAAAATAAAATCATCATTTACTATTTACTGCCCAATAAATTCAATTTCAGAGACACATAGAAATTATAGTCTTGGCATGCCAAGTCAGGCCTGTATGTAGAATATTACAACACCTCCCACCCACACCAATGGTGTGCTGGGCTGTGTGATGATGTCACACTTTTGTGGAGCATGATCACACAATCTCTGTCTTCTTTGGTCTCCTTTGATGAACAGCTACCCTTTGATGCAGAAAAATTCATACTTCCACCTGTATATTTGTCCAGTTTCAATTCACTGCTGTTTTGGTACATGCTAAGCCTGTTTGTACTTTTACTTTTGAAAAAACTTTCATATAAGAAGTCTGAATTTTTCATGAAACTTGTGTAGCGGAAGTATATTGTGGTCATAAAAAATCAATTTCAAGATTTTAATGAGGAAGGGCACATATTTTATATTCCTGAGAGGTCTTTAATATTTTATTGCCTATGCAAGTTTCCTATCAGCAGAAATGGAACAATACAGAAACAAGAATGGAATGTTGAAATGCAGAATACCTCCAACAGTTTTTATTAATATTTATCAGCTGTGCACCAGAACTGATGTGCAGTCTACTTGGTTGTGTTTTGCAATAACATGCAGTTACACCATTAACCTGAGTCAGGTTGGCTGGCAGCCCCATACTGTAAAGGTTAAAATTCACTCATTTGCAGGAATGAAGATCTTGACCATAATCCATAAACTAACTGTTTAGAACCAAGGAGTTTCTCTTTTTTCAGCACATGTACTGGACATAAAAAAGTTTGTACAATGTATTTTCCTGATTTTTAGTTTTCCAAAACAAAGACATAACAGTGCCTGTCCATGCATGGAAAGAAAAATTTAATTTATGATACAAATGTATATTAAATAAAAATAATACTTTAACTGATCACTTGTGTCTGAAAAAATATTCTTTGCCTTTGACTGTACAAACTGACTTGCAAAAATTTAAATCTGTAGAAGATTGTTATTCTCTTTTTCCCCACATTGTATGCAATACACGAAACTTTTTAAGTTAGCATTATTTAAACAAAATTCGGCCTTTGCAAATGGCGCCAGTTTCATCACTGCTGTCTGGGGTCCAATGACCTTTGACCCCCGCACAGTAGCATTTATGGTAGTATTACTTGGTGTTTTCTGAGGTAGTATCTACTTACCTGTTGGAAAATTTCAAGGACCGATTCTTTCTTCAGATGACAGTAGAGTTTCAAGAAATGTGTTTTTCTTTGCAGCTTTAATAAATGCGCCCACATCCGAATGATCTAGAACAATGATTCAAAGAAACAATCAAGATAATTCTAATTATTTTCGCTGCAGCAGAACTTTTCTACAGCACAAGGGTAGAGACGGTTGCTGTTAGCACCGAATATATTTCTCTGCATAATTAAATACGATCAAGAGTTTTTATGCATTCGTGCAAAGCGATGGTCAAAACTGTAAAATAGTAAATGAAAATTAAAATGGCTCTACAATTTTTAAATGTCTTAAGAATAGGTTTATCCGTTCTAGAGTTGTTTCTTGCGTGCGGATATGGTCAGACGAGCGATTTTATCAGGCGCTCCACAGCATTGCAAATGTGGTTACATATGACCGGTTTCGCTAAAGAAATGAAGTATAAAGCAAGAATGGATATAGCTATTTGAAAACTTATGCCTTCTTTTTATTTCAGCAAATTTTTGTTGTGGGGTGACGGCAGTGTTTGCGGTTTATACGGAAAACGGTATAATAAGGTGGCGCAAACGTGACCATTCACTACGAATTGTGCCTACGTCGCTGTGGTGACCGATGACCGCATTTTAGTAGGGTGGATCACAGGCACGGATTACAAATATTATTATAGTAATCTGTTCCCAGTGTTTTATGAACAGCATCATAGTGCTTTCACTTCAGTTACTAGTATGTGTTTATCAAAGATTGTTTGCAACATTACCGTGATTTACAGCGGGTAATCCGCGTTGAGCCAAAATAGCATCCTTACTTCCAGACAAGAATTTTAGCACTGTTACTCAACAGGTTGTATTTTTCCGATCATAGGCACGGAACGCGTGAGCACTACGAGAAGGCAGTGGAAGGAGATGAAATGATGTAAGAGTAATGTGCGTTCCCCAGCTGGACTTTTACTTTGTAGCACATTTCAAATGTATAATAACTTCTGATAGTGTTGATAAAATGAAGCTGTTTAAACTGATAGTTCACCAGAAAGACTTTAGTGGTTGGTATCCATATATCTGTATAATTCTAATTCGTGACGTTTTTAGGTCGCTGTTTATTTTGTGAAAACCATATTTCATATGAAGTAATCGTTTACATGTGTAACTGTATTAATTATATTGACTGATGCTCAGAAGAAAGTGTTAAAATATGTCTTGCTTAAGTGCTCTACAGATTACCACTTACCATTTTTTAAAAATGGGATTGTAGTTCACTTGACAGATAGGGATTCAAATTTGTAGGTATTTATGCATTAAAAGAAGTTCCACAAAGCTCTCTACATTCTGTGCTGTGATGCCATGTGGACTGATGGGTAGATACCAACTGAAATTAAAAGTATAATAACTTCTCTCAAGTCAAAAAATTCATGTGGCTATGATGGAATTTCATCTAAAGTACTTAAATCTTGTGTGGATTATATAAGTATTCCATTAAGTTATCTCTGTAATCATTCAATGGCTGTAGGAATGTTTCCTGAAAGACTTAAATATTCAAAAGTAAAACCACTATATAAAAAGGGTGAAAAATCCTGCATCTCTAACTACAGACCTATTTCACTGCTGACAACATTTTCTAAAATTTTTGAGAAAGTTATGTGCAAGAGAGTAAATAATTTCTTAAACTCAAACAACATCCTTGTCGAGGAGCAATTTGGATTTAGAAAAA